AGCGCCTGGCGGGGGAGGGAGGGGGGAGGGGCCCGCCCAGACCTGCCGCCCATCACCATCCCACCTGCTCTCCGAGATGGGTGTGGGCTGGCCCCCTGCAAGCCTGGAGGGGCTCTTGCGGGGTCTGGGGAAGCCAGCGCCGCCCCCACATGCCCCAGGGGCCCTCCTGCCTCCTCACGGGCTGCTGCTTGTTTGTGCCGCCCAGCGAGGAGCTGGCTGGGCCCTGGGAGCCCGGGCTCCACTCTTGGGAGCCGCGAACCTGGGCAGCAGGGCGGGGTCTGCCCGGGGCTGGTGAGGCCCCCGGGACCGGGGCCATCCTGGGCCTGGTCCTCGTGTAGAGCAGCTGGGGAGCTGGGGGAAGCATGTGTCGGTGGCGGCCCCTTCCCCCTTTCCCTGATGGGGCAGTGACACCTCTCACCTCCTCCCCCGCTCTGCCCCCTGTCAGCCGCCCAGGAAGCCCGCAACAAATTCGAGGAGGCTGAGCGGTCCTTGAAGGACATGGAGGAGTCCATCAGGTATGGGGCCGTCCCCGCCTGCCTGCCCCGCAGCCGCCTGCTGCCTGCCGGGCTCCCCAGAGGAGGTGGTAATGGGGAGTCGGCCTGGCAACCTGGGCAGGGCGGCGGTGGCCCCTGCAGGGAGGGTCCCCAGACGGCCAGGAGCTGGAGCCAAGCCCCCAGTGGCCCTCCCCTGCTGGAGTGGCCTTCCGTGTCCTGACTGGGGCTGTGGCACCCAGCGTCCCCAGGGCCCTCTAACCGCTCCCTCTGCCTCCCCTTCCAGGAACCTGGAGCAGGAGATTTCCTTTGATTTTGGCCCCCACGGGGAGTTCGCCTACCTGTACAGCCAGTGCTACGAGCTCACCACCAACGAGTGGGCGGCCCGTCCTCCCCACCCCTGGGCGGGCGGGGCGGTCAGGCTTGGGGGGCCCGCGACCCAGCGGGGAGGCAGCGCAGGGGTACAGGACACTGACGGGGCAGGCCCAGGGATGGTCATGGAGTCAGGGGTGCCTGTGTCTGTGTGCCCCCCGCGTTTGGGGATTGGAGGACCTGGGGCCCCATGCCCCCCGCCGACCAGCCCTGTCCCGTGACAGGTATGTCTACCGGCTCTGCCCGTTCAAGCTTGTCTCACAGAAACCCAAACTCGGCGGCTCCCCCACCAACCTCGGGTGAGTGGGCCTGGCTGGGACTGCCTGCCCCCAGGTCCCCCAGGCGGACTCCCTTAGCACCCCTCTCCCACACAGCACGTGGGGCTTATGGGCTGGCCCCGACCACGACAAGTTCAGCGCCATGAAGTACGAGCAGGGCACCGGCTGCTGGCAGGGCCCCAATCGCTCCACCACTGTGAGTGCCGGGGGCAGTGGCGGGGCCCTGGTCCACCCGAGCCCAGCTGAGCCCCTCCTGCCCGTCCCCCCACCCCAGGTGCGCCTGCTATGTGGGAAGGAGACAGTCGTGACCAGCACCACAGAGCCCAGTCGCTGTGAGTATCTCATGGAGCTGATGACACCGGCCGCCTGCCCAGAGCCGCCACCTGAACCGCCCACTGACGGTGACCACGACGAGCTCTAGCCCCACCAGGCACAGGTGGGCGTGGAGGTGGGGTGCTTGCCTCAACTTGGAGTACAGCTCTGTCCAAGGGAGACAGACCCAGGCCCGTGCTGCTTCTCCACCCGCCTGTCTCATTTGGTTTCTCTGACCCAGAATCTCAAAGGCATGGAAACAGCTCTCAGTCTGTGGACCAGGGCCCACCCCTTGGGGTCTCCTCGCCTACCCCGTGGGTGCAGGAACCATGTGAGACTCTGTGCCCTGCTCTCAAGGGGCCAGGTGGGGCACAGCCACGTACCCAGGCCCCAGCAGCCTCCAAAGACAGAATAACGGAGCTCACCCTCGCTGGGTCCCTGACCTGCCCCCTGCCCAGGCATCTGCTTCCCTGGCCTGTGGGGAAAAGTGAATTGACCTGTGACCTCAAAACAATAAAAGTGATCCTCCTAATCTGCCTATGTCAGCCTTGCTTTGCTGGGGCGTGGGTGGGCCAGGGTTGGGCAGAGGGTAGAATGCAGGGAATCACGGCAATCTGTGGGCCCTGCCTGGGCCTCCTCCCTCTTCAGCCCCACTCCACGGTCGGGTCTCATCAGAGCCCTTTTGCACCTGAGATGCCCTGGGGAAAATAGCCCAGCAACACAGGACAGACAGACCCCTACCCCCACCCTGCTACTTCTGTCTGGGTTTCTGCCCAGGTGGTCTCCCACACCACCCAAGGTACACGTGCTGTGGGTAGGCCAAGGAGCTCCAGGTGAGAGCCGGGCACAGAGAAGGACAGCAGCCTGTGCAGGACCACACAGCCTGGCCCACGGGTGCACTGACAATGCCTGCCCTCCGCTGCTGCACAAGACACCTGAGGCTGTAAGATTCTGAACTTTTATTTTCTGGCATGAAAAGTACAAATAATTAAACAATTCCATGTAAAAGTCTGTTACCGCGGCCAGGCCTGTAATCCCAGTAATAAATAGTCTAAATGCAACACAAAGTGTTCTTGTTGGGTTTGTTTTTTTTTTTTTTTTACAGTTCTTTATCACCTCCAACATGGACTCTCTCCTGATTTGAAACCTTCTGAATAAATAACAGGATGAAAGGAGGGTTGAAGGGGCTGAGCCCCCACCCCACAGGCCCTGCCCCTGCCCCCCAGGGATGTGGAAGACCCCAGGCCCCCTCTCCTGGGATGAGGGGCTGGCCTCCAGGGAGGGGCCTGGCTGGCTGGGCTGAGTTCTGTGGTTTAGAAAAAGAAGTCCCCTCCCAGTCTTGGGGGTGGCAGGGGCCTAGGCCTCAGTTGGGGGGTGTGTGGGGAGGTGCCCCTCTCCAGAGCCCAGCCCCCCCCAGGGTGGGGGACAAACCCAGCCCTTATTGCTCACAGACGCCTCCCGCACGCTGCCCACGTGTGCACACGTGTCCTGCGTTCGGAGGGCGGAGGGGAGAAGGCCCCCAGGAACAGCAGAGGGAGAGGGGTGGACCCGCTGGGGGGCCTGCCCTGCTGGAGGGGAATGGGGAGGTCAGGGAGGACTTAAAAACCACAAGAATAAATAGGTTCATGTATCAAGAACAAGCTAGGGTTTTCACCAGCTAAATAGGACTGAAAAAATTCTCAAGACGAGCAAAAATAATCCCACCGAATACCCCGGACGTCGCTGGCCACGGGGACTGTCCCCGCAGAGCACACGCCCCCCCGGGCGTCGCTCAGCTACCATTACTGTTATTAATAATTATTATTACTTTAATGATTCCACTTCCTCTTTTATAAATAAATTAGGCATAACCACGTCTCGGCAAAACTTAAAAAAAACAGAGAACATCATGGTCCCTTTAAACTTGCAAACTGGATGAAGGAACAGAAATACACACAAATGTCTTTACAGGGCAACAAGGAGAATAAATAGTTAACATAGCAATAAGTTAAAACTACAAGAAGCTAAATTCGGCAAAAAAGTACAAGAAAGTTAACTGGTGCCAGTTTATGTCTTTTTTTTTTTTTTTTACCTTTTTTTAAATCTGTTTTTTTTCTCTTCCTTTTTTTGTTGCTTTTTTCTCTTCTGTTTGTGTTTTTTGTCGCTTTTTTTATTTTATTTTTTCTTTTTGTTCCTTGCAGCAGAAGCTCCACAGACGTTTAATAAGAAACACCAGGAGGGGTGGGGAGAGAGAGCTGGGCAGTCAGATGGGGCCGAGGCCGGACACCAAACGCAGGGACACCGAGGAGGGTAACTGAAGCTGAAATCGGGGTTTGTGATTCGGTTCTGACTGGGCCCTCTGTGGGGTTGGGGGGTGTGGAGGGCTGTGAGGGCTCCCGGGGGCTCCGGCCTTTGGCTTCTGTTGGAAATTTTTGTTTTGTTTTGTTTTTTTACAAAGAATGCAAACTAGGAGGATGGGAAGTCCAGACAGAAGCTGGGGCTGGGGCACAAGTCGGGGGCTGCAGCCACTTGCCCTCGTTAATCTGGAAAGATGGAAAAACCCAACAAACTCAAATGGGGTGATGAGTGGACAGGTCAGGGGTGGGGGGAATGCGGGGCTGGGCCCCTGGGCCCTTCCACCCGGGGCCTGGCGGGGAGTGGCGGGAGCTTGCTGCTGGGGAGGCTTTAGGTGGGGGAGACTCAGGGCCTGGCCTCCCCCTGGGCCTCGTGGGCCACGGCCTCTGCCCAGGGAGGCACAGCCCCAGGGACAGGGGGTCCTTTGGCCTCAAGTGTTGGGGGGGCTGCCTCCAGCCCACCATGACGCCAAAAGTGGAACGAGGTATCATGTGTCTGGATGCATGGATTCTGTGTGTGCACGCCTGTGTCGGTGGGCGGCAGGGACTCCTGATGGGCTGGTGGGAGCTCTGCAGAGAATCCAGGGCAGGGGCGAGAGGGGCTGAGTGCCAGGAGTAGGGGTCGGGCCAGCCTAGCTAGACGGAGCAGACCGGGCTGGGTCTGGGCCTTGTGACCTCTCGCCTGGGCTTGAGGGATGCTATGAACATGTCTGTGTGTCCTGGGTGTTGTGTCTATGGTTCTCTGTGACTGGCCATCTAGATCTGTGTGTCCAAAGGTATCTTGTCTCCATTTCCACGGGTCCATGTGGAAATGCTCACACGGTCACATGTGCGTGTCCACCTTTGTCCACGGCCACATTCGCCTGCGGCTACATTTACATAGCTCCATAACTTTGCCCTCCTGTGTTTGGCCAATGAATCCCTACATCGGGTCCAGGCGCATCTCTGGGTTTGCCAGAGTCGCTGTGTGTTCCTGTGGGGTGTATAACTGCGTGGCTGTGTTTGTGTGGCCCCCATAGGCCCCGAGCCCCCAAGCCGTGCTCCCTGCCCCTGCCCCAGTTGGTAAACATAACTTGCCAAAATATTTTCTTTTTTTTTTTTTTGTCTTTTTTTGTGTTTTTTTTTTTCAAGTTCAAGAATCCCCAGTAAAAATTCTCGAGGTCTTTTTTTCCCTTTTTACAAAAATAGAGTTTTTCTTCCCCTCCCACCCCCCCTTTTTTTTCATCTTGTTTCTGTTTCCAGCCCCTCTCACTGCTCCTCACACTTCACACCAAGGGGCTCCGGGCCAGGGGTGCCCACACCCCTCCTCACATTTTGCTTTTTTGGGGATTTTTAAACCTGTTTCCCCCTCCCCTCAGGCTCACCTAGGTGTTGGGGAGGCCTGGGCAAGGGGGCCTGGGGGGCACACCTAGTGCCCCCCCAAAGCCATCCCAGGGAGGGTGGTTGAAGGTGGGATGGGGGCACATCTCTGCTTTCTTTTTAGCCGAAAAAAGAAACAAAACCATCACCATGGACAAAACCAAGAGGAGAGAGTGGACGACCCAGCCTGGAGTGGGGGCAGGAGGACGGGGTGGGGGACCCCCAGGCACCCCCTATTCCTGGCAGACTCTCCCACCCCGAGTGCTCACCCTGTGGCTTCCACACGTGGCTCACCCTGGTGCCGTCCGTGGTCTGCCTGCGCTGTCTCTCTCCGGCCCCTTCTCTCTCTCTCTCTCTGTCTGCTGCCCAGGAGGGTGGGGAGGGCGGCGGCGGCGGCTCAGGCCTTGTGCTGTTTGCTGGTCTTGAAGGACACCTGCAGCACGCGCTCGCCCAGGCGGTAGCCGTTGAGGCTGGCGATGGCCATGGCGGCCTCATCGTAGTTGGTCATGGTGACGAAGCCGAAGCCCTTGCACTTGTTGGTGGTGAAGTCGCGGATGACCTTGACATTGGTGACTGCACCAAAGGGCCCGAACAGCTGCCACAGCACGCTTTCGTCCGCCTCTGGCGACAGGTTGTACACGAAGATGCACCAGCCAGCACCTGCTGCGCCCCCTGACAGGCCCACGCCCGCGAGGCCGCTCATGCCGTCGATGGCGATGGGCGAGAACCTGGCGATGAGTGACAGGGGACTACTTTGGGGGTCACGCGGGCTCTGCCCTGACCCCCAGCATGCGCCCGACCCTACTGTGGCCCCTGGCCCCACAGGGGCTGTGACCTTGAGAATGCATGAGCCCTGCGCTGTCCTGACCCCACCACGGCCCCAGACCTCCATCCACTCCAACCTGCTCTGAGTCACCAGCCCCCAATCTCCATCCTGACCTGACCTCTTGCCCTCCCTGGACATTTGGTCCGTATTCAGTGATCCTGCCCAGAACCTGATCTCCACCCTGACCCAAGACCTTTGACTCTGGCAGGTCCTTGTTTCTGTTGACGCTGACCCCTTCCCCACCCCTGGCCACCATCCCTCCCTTGACACATCCTCCCATCTGACTGCTCCCCTCCCCCACTGACCCCTCCCTGCCCCATCTGCCCCACTGGCCACCCTGCTACCCCCACAGCTGGGGACCCACCTGGAAGGGCAGCACTGGGAGCCAAGATGTGCATGTAGCCATCTAAACGACACCCTCCCCTGGGTCTCAGGGCAGCCTGATGTGACCCATAAAGTGGCCACCACCTCCCCCTGCCCCTCTCTGGCCTTTTCCTGTTCAGACTGTATACCCATGATTGGCTCCATCTTCCCTGGAAGGTTTTGTTCCCCAAGTCACCCAGAATAGCTCCTAGCACTCAGCAGGCACTTGGGAGGGGTTTGTTGAATGAATGAATGAAAGTTCTGAATTGGCTTCATCCATATTCCTCACTAGCTTCCTACCTTCCAAAGGCTCCGCTCAACCTGGGGGACCCCCGGGTCTGACCAAGTCCACTTGGCCACTTGGAACTAACTGCTTGCTCCCTCCGCCCGGCCTTTGCACAGGCCGTGCTCGCTGCCACCCACTCCACTTCCTCTGTTGCCTTGGACAGGCTGGGGGTCTCCGCTGGGTCCCCTTCACCCCTTCTCCTGCCCTGTTCACAGCCCTGATTGCTGCTCACCTATCTGTGTCCCTCCCCACTAGACTGAGATGACTACTAGCAGTGACAATAATCCTAGGGGTGGCTACCTGTCACGGGGTGCTCACTATATGCCAAGAAGGCTCAACATGATCTCCACAAGGGGCCGAGTCTGGCTGGGCCATGCTGGGTCCCCAGCCCCAATCCCAGCACCTGGTGCTCAGGGTGCAGTAAACACGGGGCTCTTCGTTGGGTAGGGACATGGACCACGTCTCGGAGCCCCAAGGCCTCTCCCCAGCTATGGGGCGGAAGGGGGCATTCTGTGGCCCTCAGCAAAGGAATAACGTGGCGTGTGCAACTCAGACTTAACATGGGAACCGGGGCCATGGCTGTGGCTTGGGGAACACTGCCTGCCTTTCATGGGGATAGAGAGGACCCCAATCAGGCCCCCCAGGGACCAAATTCCAAACTAGCTCCTACTACACATTTACTAAGTTCCCCAGCTCCCAAATTTCTTAATGGACACACTACCCCTAGACAGGGCAAACATGGCTAAGCTGGCAGTTCTGGGGATGAGGCTGGGTAGGGGGGTCCATCAGGGAAAGGTTCCAAGGAGGATAGTGGGGACGGGGGCAGCGAGGTGGGGGCACTGTTACCTCTTGACTCCATAGGCCATGTTGAGCAAATTGTCCAGCCTGCGGAGGAAGAAGGGGTGGTCAGTGGTGGCCCCCGGTGCACCCCTGGCTGTGACGCCTGCCGGCCAGCCTGCCTGCCCTCCCCACCCCCACCCAGTCGGCCAGCAGCGCCTGCCCTGCCCCCGCCCGCCTGGACACCGCCTGGCACGGAACCGCAGTCACTCGGGCACTGCCTCTTGCCTGTCCTGCTGCTGCCCAGCCTGCCTGGCCCCACTTGCCCGGCCCCCCACCCTGCAGGGCTCTGGTTCCCCAAAAGGGAAGCTTCGTGTCTCTTCTCCACAGTGCTGGGGCTGGGCAGGTGACAGCACCGCTCTGCACCTCAGGGTCCCCATCTGCGAAACGGGGACAAGGCAAGCTCCGTGCAGAATAAAATAAGTGCGCCTGGCATGCAGGAGGCACTAATGACATGTAGGTGAGCAGACAGAGACAGGCAGTTGGAGCCACATGCCTGAGAGAGAGGGGCAGAGTCAGAGCTGGACCCCAATCAGCTGACTCTAAAACTGTGCACATCGAGTGCCTGCTGTGTACGAGAGCCTGGCCTCAGCACCTAAAAGCTTCACACGTTTCTCCTTTGCTGCCCTCAGTGGCCCTGGCCCATGCTCCAAACCATGGCTTGGCTCCATGTCCCGCTGCCCTGCAGGAATGGGATTCAGGGAGGGGGGCTGCAAGCTCTGGATCCTGCCCTGGGGGTCTGGGTGGCAGGGGCTCACCGGAAGCGCTGTGTCTGGTGGTGCAGGGGGCCTGCATAGCGCCGGGCAGACGACTGGTAGAGGTGAGTGAGCAGGGCCTGCCCTGTCTTCTGACTCGGGTTGTTGGCAAACTTGACTGTGATGGGCTCGGCCGCGCCCAGCGGCTTCTGCCCGTTCAGTCCCTTAATGGCCTCCTCGGCCTCAATCCTCTTGTCGAAGCGGATGAATCCCACACCCCGAGAAACACCTGCCCGGGAGTGAGGACATCAGGAAGACCCTGCCCCCTCCTGTGTGGCCCCCTCCCCTTACCCGCCCCTTGCCCTGCAGTTCCTGGTCCCCATTTGGTCCCTCAGGACATTTGCCCAGCACGCCCCAGCCCATCGGGAACCCTCCCTGCAGCCTGACCTGTGACCTGGTCCACCAGGATGCGAGAGGTGATAATGCGGCCATACTGAGAGAAGAGCTGCTCCATTTCTTTCTGGCTCATGGTCTTGGGTAGCCCACTGACGTACAGGTTGGCATCCCGGATGGACGCAGAACTGGGTCTGGCATAAGACACCTGTGGGAGGGGCAGCCAGGTGGACAGCACTGAGGGGAAGACCCATTACGCAGATCGGGAGAGTGAGGCCACCTCCAAACCATGGCTGAGGTGCAGAAATGCCTCCGTTTCTGGAGTAGTTACCATGGTGGGCTTGGGGGAGGGAACATGGCTGTGGCCAAGGACATGGCCCGGCCTGCACAGACTGGGTGTGGGCAGTGAGGGGTGGGACCTGTCACCGGAGGTGGTCTATGGAGCTGCGGCCCCACGTCTCCGAGGACCCTGAGTCCTGGCTCCTGCCGTCCTGCTGAGCATCCCATCACTGGTGCTCCCCACTTCCTTGGAGAGAGAGCCTGGGATGCTGGCCCTTCTCTTCCTGACTACACTTTTGGCTCCTCAGGGACGCTGATGTCTGTAGCCACCAGCTTAATGCTGACAACTCCCAAATGTTTGTTCCCGGCATGGAGCTGGCCCTCATCTGCGCCCCTACACGACACCTGCCTCCAGAAGCTCTGCAAGGGGGTCTCCTGGCGGAATCACACTCAGCACGGCCACATGTGGCTCCTGACTGCCCCCAACTTGCCCCAGTCCAGTGATGGCAGCCGTCCCCAGCCTTGCCAACTTGATGCCTCCCAGCCTTTTATACCTACATCCAACCCACCATCAACCCTGTCTGCTCCGCCTTCCTCATCATCTGAAATCCACACACCTCTCCCAATTTCCACTGGCCTAACCTGGCCCAGCCCTCACCATTACTTCCCACCCCCACTAGGGCAGCAGCCCCACCAGGTTCCCCCACTCCCATCCTCACTCCCAGGCTGTTCCCTCCACCACAACCTGAGGGCGCCTGTGAGCATCTGGGCCAGGTCATCTCCCTCTGCTCAGAACCCTCTGTGGCTCCCACCTTCTTCAGAGCTCAAGTCCTCTGTGTTCCCCAAACACACCAGGCATGTTTCAGCCTCAGGGCCTTTGCACTGGCTAGTCCCTCTGCCTGGAACCCTCTTCCTCACCTTTCTTCTCCCAGTCTGCATTGAAATGTCCTCCCTACTCTTTCCCGTATGAAATCCTCCACCCCTACCCCCCTTAAGCGCTTTCTCAAAACACTTCTTCCCATTATGAGTTAGACACGTTTTCAGAGGATCATTCGATTCATGTCATTCATTATGGCCCAGCCCAACAATGAAAACTCTCTGCAGCTGTTTAAAAAATGGTGGACATGTATATTTATTTCCCTGAAACAGTGGTGAGTATTGTAAAGTGGGGAAAAGAAAAGTCCATTTACAGAGCGGCCAGCGTTGTGTGACCCCATCTCATTGTGTGTTTATCAATGTCCTGGAAACATGGGCTGGAGGGCCCCACCCCCAGGGGCTGACAGGGTGCCGAGGGTTGGTGGGGGGAAGGGAGGTCGTAAGCTTCTCTCCCCCTTATTTCTGCTTTCTCTTCTATTTCTTCTAAATTAACCGCTGGGTAGATGGGGTCATTGTCAAGGGTATGCCTTCTGTTTGGGGTGGTGAATTGGGAGGGGGTGAGGGTGCTCATGGCACAGGGATAGGATTCTATTTAATGCAGCTGTGCACACCTGAGGTCCTCCAGGAAAAAGAAAGATGATCAGTGGCTCTTATTTCTATAACAGTAATTAAAATTAACAGCCATGTATTTGACAGTTTCCACTCTCCACTGTGGGGCTGTGAGTTTTTAGGGTTGAGGACTTGTCAGGGGATTAGAGTTGGGGAAAGAGAGGGCTGAGCTCCTGGATGGGTGGGGGTGTCAGGGGTCATCTGAAGCACAGAGTAGGTTTTCAGGGGTCTTTCCTGTGTTTCCAGGATGCCATCTGCTGGGGCGCCCAAGGGCTGAGACTGATCACACAACATGCCACCCAGACAGACACACACGCACATACACACCCACGCTGTGCCACCCCTGCAGAGCTCTGGTGACTCCAGCAGAAGAGGGTGACAGAAGGTGGCCACCACATTCATGGTGACTCTGAGGGTCCTGGGTAATCACAGAGCTGCAGAATTGCAAGCCCTCAAGTCGCACACATTCCACCCTGAATGGGGAGACACACCCACACAACTGCACTGTGACACACAAACACCCAGTCACAACCAGACATACCCACACAGCCCCACCAGGTCACTGCCAGAGCTGCAATGTGTCACAAAGCACGTGTCAGATAAGCAGCATATCCCACAGATACCCAGTGACACACCCGAAGTCTGTAACAGCCAGGTCCATGATGACAGCCACTCATATGGCCAGGGTGTTCCACAAACACCGTGCTTCACAGCCAGGGAACATACACACAGACACACACACACACACACACACACACACGCTCACCACATCACATGGATACAGTGGCTCTGGGTTGAATGTACAGTTTATCACGTGACCCCTCATGCTTCTCAGTATAGTTGTCCAAGGAGGGACCCACCCAGTCACAACCTCATTCCCCCTCACATGAGGGAGAAGAGATTCCTGTACCTCTGTTCCCATGGAGAACTGGGGGCCAGATGGGTACCCCCAGCCCAGCCTTCCCCGGGGCTCAGATTTGTGGGCAACAGATTTGAGGGGCGGAGCCCAGACACTCCCAGGCCGACCTAGAGAGGGGGTTTCCATGGCGATCCCCCCAGGGAATCTGGGCTCACAGGGTCCCAGCTGCAGCAGCTGAAAGGGGAGGGGCCCAGAGGGACCCATCCCCTAATCCCGCCCTCCCAGGCCCTAATTAGGCTCCAGATGGCAGATGGGCCCCGCCCCTCCCCCACTTCCACGACAAAGGCAGGGAGGGGGCTGCCCATCAGACCCTGGTCACTCTCTCTCACTGCCGTGGGGTGATCACCTCCTTGAGTCCCGAGGATGTGGGGCTGAAAGCCTCCCCACTGGCAAGTAAGGAACCTTGTCAGAGAGTCAGAGAGGCAGAGCCATTGGCCCCGGAGGCCGTGGGGAAGGACAAGGACGGGCAGCAGTAGGGGGAAGGGATGGGTGGGAGGACAGGAAGCTGTAGGGGGTTGGACAGCAGGGAAGGAGGCAGTCCACGTGGGCAGTAATAAAGGAGAAGTAAGGACGGTTGGGGACCGGCAGGAGCGGGGAATGAGGCCACTGACCTTGATGGTCTTCGTCTGCAGTTTGAGGCCGTTGAGGGTGTTGATGGCTTTGTCTGCGTCGTTGGGGTCAGAGTAGTTCACAAACCCGTAGCCCAGGCTCTGCCCTGCGGGCAGGGTCAGGATGATGCCTTCCTGGAACCTGCCCCTGTCGTCCCAGACCCAGGCCTGAGAGGCTGACTGACTGCCCCCCTCAAGGTTATGGGAACCAAGGTCCCCTCCTTACCCATTGCCCCAGAGTACTACCCTGTCCCCAGGACCCCTCAGATCTCCTTGCCCCCTTCACTCGAGACACACCCCCTAGGGTCACAACTGCCTCCCCGTGGCACCTCAGATCCCCCACGGTCCTACCTGCCCCCGCCACACCTGTGCTCCTGAGGCTAACAGCTTTGTGCCCCCGCGCCCCCACCTGCCAGCAGCCACACCTGTGATCTTGTCCCGAACCAACTTGCAGGACTCGATGTCACCAATGCTGCCGAAGAGGCTCTTGAACTCGTCCTGGGTCATGTTCTGGGGCAGGTAGTTGACGATGAGGTTAGTCTTGCTGTCGTCAGTGGCTCCGTTTGTACCAAGGAGTGGCCCGTTGGGCAGGGCCGGGCCGGCCGGGCCCCCCGCCACCTGAGACTCCATGGCTCCGAGTATCTGCTGGAGACAACAGGCCGCACCCACTCACGGTCCCATCCGCACACCAGGGGCCCGTGGGAGTGAGGAGGGGCTCAGAGGGATCGGTTGTGTCTGACACGGGCTTGAACATGGAGACGGTACAATGTATCATTCTAATAATCCCTTCCACTCTTTGAGCATTAGGCAAAGCACTTTACTGTGACAAGTTCCATATATAAACCCCAGAGATGCCTGTCGCATATACAGTTGACTCTTGAACAACGCATGTACCAACTCCCCATGCAGTCAAAAATCCATGTGTAACTTCTGACTCACCAAAAAACTTACTAATAGCTTACTATTGCCGGGAAATCTTACCAATATTCTAAAGAGTTGATTAATACATATGTTGTATGTTATATATATTATATACTATATTTTTACAATAAAGCTAGAAAATGTGTTTTCAAATTGTCATAATCTTAAAAAATGTTTACAACATATTTATTGAAAAAATATCCATGTATATGCTTAAGGTACTCTACAAGAAGATATGTCAAAGAAATAATCCTCCCATGTTTCCTTCATATGCTACATCTATAGCTTTTCTTCTTCCTTCCTAATTACAACCCTTAAATAGAATTCGTGCCTCATATCGAATTTACCGAGTATCATAATTCCTCCAGGTGGTAAAGATACCTCGAGACAAGTGCTGGGCATAGAAGCCACAGGGCATAAATCTGCAAAGAAGTAAAAAGCTAACCTTTGCAAACAATATGGCTTCTCTCTCACTTACCAACTTTACATTTCCCTGTATGGCCCCGGAAGATGACTGGTTAGCCAGAGACGGGTAAGATTCCTCAAGGGAGGAACAACCTAAGACAGGCACAGTCGCAGGGGGGCCATCAGGTGAGAATTTGGGGATCAACAGAGGTGAGGCTCAGAACCTCACCCCCCCTGCTTTGAGAGAAATCTTCTGCATCCGTGGATGTCTTGCTGCCCTTGTCTAGCCTGGATTAATACTTAGTCCATAGGCACACACCTGATCATCTGATCATCTACATTTGCCTTCTTACAGCACTAAACTATGTTTTCTACCTTTATCTTGCATCTACCTACCACTTCAGCATTTTATTAAAAATAAAAATAATAATAATAATAGGAGAAATGTGGGATCAACATATAAATCAAGTACAAAAATCAAACGAATATTCATATTTGACCTGATTGTTTATAGGTCATAATGCGTGATCAAAACCGAAAGTTTCTGTGATGACTGCCCTTGTACTGTTCACCATGTAAGAATTTATTCACTATGTAAGAATTCGTTCACCATGTAAGAACTTGTTCGTTATGCTTCAGAAGATTGGAGACTGATGAGAATTAGGCTTGAGATGGATTAATGATTGTACATTGAGCGTTGGCCCCCCCTATACTGAATTTTATTGTTGTTAACAACCATTTGATCAATAAATATGAGAGATGCCCTCTAAAAAAAAAATATCCATGTATAAATAAATGGACTCAGTTCAAACGTGTTGTTCAAGGGTCAACTGTATGTTTGCCTCTTTTTCTAAAACCAATCTGTGCATTTTCAGGGTAATAAAATAAAGACTTTGTCTTCAGAATAAGAAATATAACATTTTTATTCACTTTGAAGCCCTCATAAACCCCTCCCTGACCATGTACTCCCCTCTTCCCATCAAAGATAATTCCCACTCCAAATGAGCTGATATTTCTTTAGCTTATGCATAATTTTCCCACTGGGCATTTACCCCCCATTTTTCCACTGAGCATTTGGGTTTTTAATGTATATAACACCTGTAAATAGTGACAGCTTTATTTCTTTATCTTCAATCTATACCTGTTTATTTTTCTTGTCTTATTACAGGGGCTACAGTGTGATAGTGGCGTCTTCATTCCTAACATTAAAGGAAATATTTGAAACATTACACAGCTACATATGATCTTTGTTATAGTTTTTTTTTTCTTTTTGTAGAGGGCCTTTATCAGACTAAAAATGTTTAATTTTATACCTAATATCAACGAGACTTTTAAAGAATGAATGTTGAATTTTATTGAATGTTTTATCCTACATCTATTTTTTTCTAAGTGAGTTGCAATTGTCATATAACATTACAATAGTTTCAGCTGTACAACATAATGATTCGACATTGGTATATTGCAAAATGATCTGCAAAAGTCATCTAGTTAACATGGATCACCATACATAGTTATAATTTTTTTTCTTATGATGAAAACTTTAAAAATCTATTCTCTTAGAAAATTCCAAATATATTCTATAGTTATTTTACATGTAAGGCCACATAGAGAATTTTAAAGCTACATTTGGGCTCAGTAGGAAATAGCGCTGGGATTGATTGGTATTGTTATGGGCATGGGAACGTTAAGTAGCCAGCACTTCCTTAGGTCTTCCTTATGGTTGGCAAATAGACTGCCCTCACCTGAAAACTCAAATCAGTTGGTAGGATCTTTCTAGAGGGATGAATTAAGGATTTGAAGCCACATTGAGTTTCAGCAGAAAAAAAACACTGTGATTGATTAGCCATATCTGTTGTGGCCACAGAATTGAAGTCAGGAGGTACACAGCATCTCAGCAATCCCTGACCCTAAATACAATACCATGCTTGTTCCCAAATTTGGAGAATACTGTGCACAGTGCAATGTTTCTTTTTCTCTTCCAAATAACCCTGAAAAGAGGAGGGTTTTATTCTCCCTACTTGACAGATGCTATGAACTAAATGCTGTGTCTCCCCAAACTCCTATGTTGAGTCTCTGATCCCCAAATGTGATGGTATTAGGAGGTGGGGACCTAATTAGGTCATGAGGGTAGAGCCCTCATGAATAGGATTCATGTCCTCACAAAAAGACAAGAAAGAGATGATCTCTCTCTCCACCATTTGAACACACAGCAAAAAGATAAGAAATCCTGGCTGCCTGCAAACCAGGAAATGGGTTCTCACCAGGAATCAAATCAGCGGACACCTTGATTTTGGACTTCTTAGCCCCCAGAACGATGAGAAATAAGTGCCCGTTGTGTAAGCCACACGTTGATGGTATTTTGTTATAGCAGCCTGAGCTAAGGCAACAGACGAGGAAAGTTCAGAGGCATTTGAAAAATTACCAAAGACAATGCAGCCTGTGAAACAGGGATTTGCACAAGAGCTTTTCTGATCCAGAGTCAGTATTTCCAACTTCCACTGCCATCCAAGACGCCTGCCTGCTCTAACATTTCCCAGCTGTGTGTCCTCAGGTATGCTACTTAACCTTTTTGTGCCTCTGCTCCACTTTGCTGCCAACTCCAAATTACTGGCAGAGTGGCCCTGGGGAAGGATCTAAAGCCATGCGTGGGTGCAGCTGAAAAGCATTCTGGGATCAGTTAGCCACGTCTGCCATGCGCACAATCATGGAAAGCGGAAGCAGGCTTGTCATGTTCGCCATCAAGTCATGTTATTACTAATTGTCCCACTCCATTGACATCTATGTGCCAGGCACTGTGTGAAGCACTTCAAGGTGTCATTTCACTCATTTCTCCCAACGATCTTTAAAGACAGCAACACACGCACCATTTCATAAATGAGAAAAGTGAGCTCAGAGATGGTGGGTGATCTAAATGAAGAACTTGATTTTAAACCTGAATATGTTGACGTCAGAGCTGATTTTAATGATTGGCCATTAATGGGGGCAGCTCTGCCGCATTACAGCTGTGTGTCCTTAGGGATGACCTTAGCTCTTCTTAGGGCCTCTGCTTCCTTTCTATTCATTCTTATTAAAAAGAATGGAACAGAGGGTCAATTCCTTTGCATCTCCAGTTGGCTGAGTGGCCATTTGGGGAGCTGCCAGGAGGGTTATTCTGAAGCCACATCCAGGCTGAGCAGGAACATGCACTGGATTGGTTAGTGATGACTGCCTCAAACATGGGCAGTAAAGCAGTAATGCACACTCCCCAGCTCTGCATCCAGTTCGTAATACTAATACTTTACTAATAACATGGTGCGTGAAGGGCCTGCTATGTGCCAGACAAAATTCTTTATGTGAAAATTTCCAGGCAATTCTCTCAACTTTGAACAGTATGGGACTCTTTTCTCCAATGAACAGATGAAGAAACAGTCTCAGTGAAGGGGTAGGGATTTGCATAAGGACAGCATACAGATGGTGGACCAAGAATTCATATCCAGGGTTTGAACATCAGAGTCCACTTCCTAATGAAAAGGCCAGAAACAGTAAAAAATAATAACAGTAAAGTGAAGCTGAGCACCTACCATACTCCAAGCCTTGAGCATCACTACATTATAATCCATTCTGTGGGCTGAGTCTACTCATCCAATTTAAATATTTACTGGGTGTCACCATGTAACAGCTGCGGGCTCTAACCTCCACACCATATATCCTAAGACATTCATATTGACTCTCTGTGCCTGTAAAAATAGAGCACAGAGGTCCCCCACATATGGAGATGAATCCTGAATTCCCTTCTGGGCTCACTGAGCTAGAGCTCTGTGATTGGCTGATAATGTCTGCTATGGGAGCCCCCAAAGCCATCAGCAGCACACAAGCAACTGTTTCAGGACACGAGATTCCAGCTTTGGGACCCCACACTATGTGCCGGGCACTGAGCACGCACAAAGTTTTCATTGACTTCCCACAACAACACTGAAAGCTGGAAATCATCTCTATTTCTCAGGGAAACAGGGTCAAGGGTGACTTGCCCAAGGTGACCAGGGGCAGGTAGTGGAGTCAGGGTTTGACTCCCGATCTTACTACCCAAGCGCCTGCAGGGTTACTGGCTTCCCCCCACAGCCCCCATCCCCCCTAAATTCTGCCCTCAACTGGGGTGGTGTTAAAATAAAGGCAATTGGGAACTCCTCCCTGGCTGGGATCTGGAGGCCCAGCCTACTAATCTCCCCACCGTCCCATCACCCTCCCATCTGTGCCGGAGCTTAGCGGGATCAGTGTCGTGTTTCCTCGGCGGCTCAGCCGGCTGAGCTGCTAATGGGGATCGGACTGGTGAAGGCCACACCAGCCCCACCCAAACCCGCAGCAAACACATGGCCTGGGATGACTCGGGGATCACAGGGACCTTCCAGGGATGTCGTAGGACAGGAATGGAAGCCTAAAACCAGAGGGGAAGAGAGCAAATTGGGGATGGAGAAGCAGAGCTTGACTGGGAGCAGTGGAACCTTCTATTCCACCCTTGCCAGATCTTCCTCTGGGTCTCTCCCTTGTTCATTTCACTCTTCTTTTTCTCGCTGTCCTTCTGTCCTCTCCCCTCTGAGCCCTTGTCTGTCTCTCCTTCTCCAACTCATTTTCCACCATTGCACATCTGACATGGATTTTGCAGTGAACACACCTGTGCTCACTTGCTGTGTAGAACCCTCCTACATCTCGGCCCCCAGCTGTGCCCCCTGGCCTCAGTCACAGTGACAGACACCTGGATGCTGGCGACAATAGGGCATTGAGTGGCTATGCACGGTAAGGTTTGGCCACCACGTAGTGCTAACTAATCCTCCCCCTTCGGGGCCCTTCTTCCTGCCTGCAGAGCCCTCACTATCTGTTTTCCTCCTCATTCCTCTCAACCTGCCTCCATGGTGGGGCTCTGCCTGAGTGCCCTGCGTTGGAGGGCCCAGGCCTTTGAGGGCTTCAAGGCTCCTGTGTGACCTCTGACCACACCCTTTTTGCCCCTTTGTGCATCAATTTCCCTTTTTGAAATGAGGGAACGGATCTGAAAAGTGGGTACTGGACTGTCGCAGGGGTTTTAAGGGTTCTTAGGAGGCCATGCTGACGTTCCTGGACCTCGGTGAGGAACGCGAGGCCCAGAGAGGGGAGGGAGCTGGTCTGAGGTCACACAGCAAGGAAAGTATGGCCTCTGGGGCCTCATTTCTCAGAGCCAGGTGGGCGGGTCCCAGGGTTCAGGAGGGGAGAGGCCCAGGCACAGAGGGAGGGTTGGGCATCCCCCCAGCCACACAGCTGGCCACGACTAGAAAAAGAGGCCCAGAGAGAGACAGCGTACAGAGACACACACAAAGAGACTGGAGAGACAGCAGGAACGCAAAAAGGAGGCCCCGGCGACGGAACCAGACAAAGGACGCACGGCGGCGCGGGGAGCGGAGTCGCGCCGCGGGGGCGGGGGTGGAGCCAGGGTGGGGCTAGAACTGGCCAGCCCCGCCCCCGGGACACGCCCGGGCTGCCGAGTGGAAATCCGAGGGCTCGGGCGAGGCCGGCCCCGGGGCCCTAGGGGCGGAGCCTAGATGGGCGTGGTAGGGCGTGGTTATGCAGGGCGTGGCAGGGCGTGGCAGCGCGCTCGGGAGCTGACCAGCTCGGCGGCTGCTGAAAGCACCCGGAGCCGGGCTAGTGGTGCGGGCGGGCAAGCTCAAGGTCACCCCGAGGCCCAGAGCCCTAGCGGCTCTTGGACCTGGCGTAGCGGACCTGCCTGAGCCCCTTACCCCATCCCCCGGGGGGCGCGGGCCCAGGAGCTAGGAAGCCCCCCCGCAGGCCCTCCCCTCCTTTCCCCCTCCCCGAAGCCCGAGGCGCCCGCGCGAGGCTACGGCCCGCGAAGAAGCGCCGAGAAACAAAGGGACTCGGAGGCAGCGGCGGCGGGCCCGCGGGGCCTCCGGGCGCGCCCCCTCCTCTCCCCTCCCCGCTTGCCGCAAGGTCGACGGGCTCGAGGACAAGAAGCCCAGCTCCCAGGCGCGGCTGAGGCCCGGGGAGCATGATCCAACGCCACCACTTTCCCGGGGTTCTCGGGGACGCCTTGCCGCCTTGACCTGGCCTAGCACCAGTGATTGGGGCCCTGTGTTTGCCTGGGCGGCCTGCGGGGTCCGGGCCTGGATGGAGGAGGCATCCTCCGCCGCCGCGGCCCCTCCCCCATCAGGCCTGCTGGAGGGGGGCAATCTCGCCCCCAGGGCGCCAGAGGACGCCCCTCGAATTGCACCTCGGCTCCCTAAGGCCTCCCAGGCCAATCTCTAAAAGCCCCCAGTACTCTGGGCGCGGCTCTGCCCACTCTTAGGCCCCGAGGCTCGGTCCTACCCCCCCCCAACCCGGGCCTAGCTAGGCCTGGTCCTACCCCCCCCAAACCCTCCATCTCCTTGGAGCTTGTGCCTATACCCTCCCCATCAGGTTCCCTCTCAGCGACAAGGAAATACCTACAGTGACCATTCTTGTGTGCCCGGCGGGCGCGGTCCGTGTTGAGGGCGGCTCCGGGGGTCGTACACTCCTTGGGGGGCCCTCGATGCTCACGCCGGGGTCCTGCCTGGGCGGTCTCTGGCGCGGTCTCTGCAGAGGTGTCGGTGAAGGCTACTGTTCCCTCGAGGGCCGGGGACGGGCCCGAGCCCGGGGACGCGCTCGCGGATAACCGGGCCCCGGGGTGGCCTGCGGGCGGCAGGGCGTGGAAAGCGGGAGCGGGCGAGAGATTGAGAACGCCCCTTGCGCGGCGCCGCGGGGCCCGGGGAAGTGGCGCCTCCCGACAGAGATCGCGGTGCTCCGCCTTTCGCCGCAGCTCCTCGGCCCAACCGGTCCAGCCCCGGGCCCTCAGTCCTCTCCCCTCGCCCGCCCTCCCACCCACCCTCCAGCCCGCGCTGCGCGCTCCGCGCTCTGGGCCGCGCTGCCGCCGCCCCCAGCCGTTTATAGCAGCAGCTGCCAGCACCGGCGGCGCTTATTGGCTACGGCAGTCAAGCCCCGCCTCCTCGCGGCGCCCGACGGCGCGGCAGGTGGAAGCTAGCGCACTCTGGCTGGGACTCTGCACCCCAAGAAAACACTCCCTGGGGCTTGTATTGCCAAATTCGGGCCCTTTTGCCCCGCAGACCTTCTGCTTGCATTGGCGCCCCTTCTTGGGTGGGCTTTCTACGCAGAAGACAAGGAGAGTTCACCTCCTCTGTCCAGCACCGGGAACTGGAAGAGCAAAGATGGTGAGGAGGTATCGGTGGCCCGATTGTACACCTTCGGGCGGTGCTATCCACCGAGAGAACTGGAAAGGGACGAAGAACCAAGACTTCAATGGGCAAAGGCCTGGGTCTTCAGATTTGGAGGCACTAAGTGTAACCCCGCAAGACCAATGGAGGAAGGTGGAGACAGCTACGACCCTAGTCCGTCTGCAGAAAGCACAAAGACTCTGTGCATTTTGAATGGGCTAGGTTCAAAAGTTGGGTTCAAAAAGTGGAGTCTGGCACCCCAAGGTGCAGGGGAACTCGGCTCTTTTCTGAAGGGAGTGAAGAGGTTTGAGGCTCAGGGTTCCACGTAAACTCCACTGGCAACCTGAGATCTTGAGAAACCACCTGGTCTCAGAATCCATAAACTTCAGAAGGTCGGGAGATCTGCCATATAAATGTCCTGGCTTTCCGGCTCATGATTGATCCGACTGGGGAAAACCTGGCCTCCGTCTAAGGAGGAAAGGGGTGGCGTAGCCTCTTTTGGTGCGTGGGCACCAGTGCACGTTTACGTCGGGGTAGCCATCAGGCTGGAAGAAGCATTCTCACTAGGGCGGTGGCCTCTTCGAAGGAAACTTCAGCACCACAGACAGCGGTACACGGACCGATCGAGGGCGCTGTGAGGGGATAATCCGGGCCCTCTAACCCCGAGAGCTGCAACCAGTACCCCATTCTTGTTCCTACACACATTTTTAGGCTCCAGACTGTCCGAGAGTGCCATCAAACTCAGCGAGGAGAACCTAGTTTGACCAATCAGGGACTGCCCTCGAGAGAACCAATTCCGGGAAGATGCCCTCAAGATTGAGCCAATGAGAGCCGCGCAGCAGAGAGCGCGGCCACACGGATGGAGCGAGCAGGCCAATCATAGTGACGCGCGCAATCTGGGCGGTGGCGATGCGGGTTCCTGGTGACGCCTCTTGGGTTTGCTGGGGCGACCCGGAGGCCAACCCTAGTAACCCCGAGTGATGGCTTGTTCCCCATTTGGTGTTCCTCTCTGCTCCTGTCGGATCCAAAGCTGAGCCTAGCCAGAGAGGGGAGCTACTCCTGGGCCCGCAGCCCCAGCTGCGGTTTCCATGGAAACTGCTAGCTCTGGCTCTGCGGGGAAAGCTGAGCCTTGGGTGAGGGGTGGGGTGACTCGCGGGGGTGGCCCCAGAGGCCGTCTGGTCCTTGCCGACACTTCTTTCCCAGGCTGGTTTAGCCCCAGGTCCTAAGCGTAAAATGAGGCCTAGTTGTGGCCCCTCCCCCACGAGCTGCTGAACAGCCGGTGGGGCCAATCTGCGAATGGCGCTACTGGGTTCCCCGGGGCATGTGCCCAGGCTCACGACTGCGGTCTCCGGGGTCACGTGGCTGCGGCCACCGGGGCCAAACGCGGCTTGTGCGCCACCTGGCGGCCATCGATCTAACATCGCTCCCCGCCGCTGGCAGGAAGCAGTGACCTCAGCATCCTCCTCCGGGAAATGGGGCCAAGGGAGCAGCCCGGCCACAGCCAACTCCCCCCACCCTTGGCTTCCTGTTTCAGCAACACGCTGAGCCTGTTCTACCTTGGGGCTCTAGCACCGGCTGTTCCTTCGGCCTGGGATTTGCCTCCTCTAGCTTCCTTCGGGATTGGAACCCTTTTGTCATTCTGGTCTATGCTCAAATGCTACCTCCTCAGAGGCCCTCCCTGACCACCGACCTAAACCCCACCGTCCCCCGAGAAACTAACATCACTGCTTTCTGCACAGCGCTTGTCACAGCTATACGTTTTTGGGGTTTACCGAACATCTCCCCAACTGTTTTCTGGGCAATCTGAGCTGGGGAATGAGTGTTCCATGAAGTATTAAGAGTGGGTGTCAGGATCCTGAGTCCTGGGAGATGGATTTCCAGTGGTCTCCCGGGCCCCCAGCCTCCCACCCGTGACCCTGGGAGTGGAGGGAGTGTTCAGGGTTGCCAGGCCCAGATAGCCGACGCAATTCGGAGGCGACAGGAAAGGATGCTGTCCGGCATGGAGGGGCGTCCCCCCTTGCCCTGGCCATGCTCAGGCAGGGATCAGGTCAGAGCCAGAGGGGGCCCGTCCCCCAAATCATCCAGGCCTAGGGGAAGGGCATCTCCTTTCTCGCTCTTTAATAGCGCTCTGCTCTCCCGACACAGTTCCAGCTTTGCGGCCCCAGGCGCCAGCTCCCGAGAGCGCAGAGTGGGGGGGGAGCCTGCCCCCGGAGCCCAGCGCTGGTGCCGGGCAGGGGCGCCTCCTTCCGGCCCGCGGTCCGGGCGGCCCCGGCGTCTGTCCAGGTCCCAGCAGGCCCCGGCGTGCTGTCCCAGCGGTCGAATAAATAGGGGCGGTCAGTGGTCTGGTGGGTCAGGTGGCCTTATGGTCCGGGTGGCTTTTGAGTGTGTGGAACTTGACGCTGTCCAGCTTCTCAAAGCGCTTCCCGCAGCGCTCGCACGTGAAATTGTACTGCACCTCGGCCGTGTGCTTCTTCATGTGCCAGTTGAGCGACGCGCGCTGTCTGCACTGGTAGCCGCAGATCTCGCACCTGCTAGGAGGGAGCCCGGCGGGCGCCCGGCGGGCGGGGTCAGAGGGGGCGGGGCCTCCAGGACGGGCCCAGGAAGGGGCGGTGCTATCAGGTAGCTCCGGCCCTAAGTGAACTGGGTTACGCAGCCCGAGGGGTGGAGTTGGGTTACGCAGCCCGAGGGGTGGAGTCCGCCCGCCGGGCCTGCCCCCGGCGGAACCCAGGTCTCCCCACAGCCAGCCCTCGTCGCGGGAAATTCTTCACTCACTGCAGGGGCGTCTCGCCGGTGTGCGTGCGCCGGTGTACCTCCAGGTGGTTCTTCCTCTTGAAGGACTTGCCGCAGGTTTCGCAGGTGAATTCCCGGACACCTGCGGGAGACACGGGGCTGAGCACGCAGCCGTGGGGGGCAGGAGCTGTCGGGGATCTGCGGCGCTGCAGAGACCGGGTAGCCCACGGCCTCCCGGAGTCTCGAGGGCCTCTGAGCTCAGGCCGACCAACCCAGACACCTCCCCCCTACATCCTCCAGGTGTGAATGCTGATCTTAGTAACCAGAGTAGTTCGGAGGGAAGGCTGCCCTCGGCCCCGCCTGAGGCTCGGGGCCTGCGACGGGGCAGAGCTGGAATGTGAGCTTGGGTCTGAGGGGCACAGGGTGCAAATCAGCAGGCCACGATGGGTCAGAATTTGACCCGAATATTTGAACTTTGGGGCAATTTCACATAAAAGTCCAAAGTTTTGGTCTCTCAAAACATCTGGAGTGGGGCCTGCCATTTGGGCACAGGCACCCAGCTCCCCACCGTATCCACGGCCCTTCTCCCGGGTCAAGGAGGCACTGCGAGAAGAAATAAGCCCTGGGCCAACCGCTCCCCTACCTTGCCAGTCTGAGATGGTTCACTGTCATCCCCTGACACACCTAGCAGCCCTGGTGATGGGAGTGGGGAGGCCAAGGAGCCCCGAGTTGGGGAAGGGACAGCCAGCCCTTGCCCAGCTCCACGTAATTTATAATAATCTGAGTCATTGTGACTCAGGAAGCTCCAGCTGGCTGAGCCCTGGGGTGGTGCCTGATGGGTACCAGGTCGAGCCCTTTACTGCCGCCTTCCCACAGCAGCCAGCGTGGAGGGCATGGAGATTCTGGGGGCAGTGCCATGCCAGGAAACCAGTGCCTGTGTCTCCCCCCGTGCCCCTGCCCTGCCCCCAAGGCCCAGGCCCGTGTCCCCACTCCCGCAGCCAGCCCCGCCCCGGGCCTGACCTGAGTGGATGATCATGTGCCTCCGCAGGTGGTTGGAGAGATAGAACTTCTTGCCGCAGCCGGGGTGAGGACACACTTTGGTCTTCCCTTTCCGATGTACAAGGTTGACGTGGTTCTGGAGGCCAGAGAGGTGCCGTGAGCCCCCCTCCAGAGATTGTCCCGGTGGGGACAGATGAGAGCAGCTGCGAGGCAGGCAGGGACCGGCCTCTGTGGAGGGGGGAAGAGGGGTGCCCTTGCTCTTGGAGGGGTCTCCCAGCCCTAAGCTGGAGCCTCGGGGCCCAACTGGAATCAAACAGCAGCTTTCCTGAGCACCTGCTACAGCCAGGCTCTGGGCTGGGACATCAGTCAACCTTTTCATAACCCTGTGAAGGCCCAGTTGATGGCTGGGAGACCAAGGCTCTGGAGGCTTGGTGGTTTGACCCATATCTTACAGGTGGGCAGTGTGAGGGCAGGGACTGGGCTCCAGGGCTGTCAGCCCCAGAGCAACCTCTCTGCCATGGTGCCAGGGCTGCCTGAGTCATTCATTCCTTTGCTGTTTCATTCTTTAATTCACCAGCATGACTGTAGCTCCAGGGCCCAGCAGCAGGCTTGGCACATGGGGGTGGGGGCTCCAGACGTGCTTAATGAAAATACGACTCAGCAGATTCAAAGGCCCGCTGGTACCTCTTCCTGTGCCAGGAGTGGGAATGGGACCAGACACTGTCTCTGCTCCTGGGGTATCCCAATCAAGCTCCAGTGGGCAAACTGTAGGCTCTCCAGGCCCCACCAGTCCTGGAGGACAAGGGTGGTCTTCCTGGTGGAGGGGAGTCCTGAGTCAAGAGGATGGCCTGCATGAAGGTGGAGGAGCTCAGGCAGGTTGAGAAGGCAAGGCATGTGGGCTGGAGAGCAGGAAAGGAAGGTGGCCAGGTGCCCCCTGGCGCTCTGTGGCTGAAGTGGGGTCTGTGAGAAGCTGCTGAGAGGTGGGTGTTTGGGAAGCAGGGCACTGGTGCCTGGTGGGACCTTTCACGAGCCCCACTGCCCAGACCCCAGTACACAGGCAGCCGGACCCAGAAGTCGGCCCTGCCCAACCCACCTGGGTGGTGGCCTCACCTGGAAACTGCTGAGGGCCACATAGACCTGGCTGCAGCCCTCGTAGGGGCAGTGGAACATCTCCAGCAGGCCATCGGCGTCCATCACCCGCGTCCGCTTGCTCCGCCGCCTCCTGGAGGAGAGGGGCCCGTGGCATCGGGGTCCCCACACCTGACAGGTTGTGGGCCCGTGGGCTGCTCCCTGTCCCCACCCCCGCCCACCCAAGCACCCACTTCTCGGGCTCCTTGGGGATCTCGTAGATGATGGCTGACATGTCACTACCATCCAGCTCTTCCCCTTCGGCCTCCAGCTCTGGCTCGGCGCTCTCGGGGATGGTCGCTGCCAGTTCTGCCAGCTCTGGGGCCACTGGCTCCTCTTTTTCCTCCTTCTTAAGCATGTATAGGTCCTCCTTCTCTACGGGGGTGGACACAGGGTGGGCGTCCGTGGGGGACTAAGGCCACTCATCATTCCCCCCGCCAGGCCCCACCCCAGCCCCTGCTGGAGGTCACAGCAGCCCCCTTGGACCAGCACAGTCCCCAGACCTTTCTTGGTCTCGATGCCCGCCATGGCTGCGGGGTCTATGGTGCCAGGCTGGCTGCCCTCGGGCTCTGTCTGCGTGTAGGCCGCCACGCCTTCCATCATGGTGCAGGGTACCTCGTTGCCCAGGCCCCGGCCCGGGGTACCGCTGCCTGCTGCCATGTTGAGGTGGATGCCCTCGGCTGTGAGGGCGTCGTAGCCAGGTCCTGCGATGATGATCACCTGTGAGCCAGGCACCATGCCTGGCATGGGGCAACTGGCCACCACCTCTCCCAGTGCCTCCTGAGGCATGTTCTCAAAGAGGGTGCCGGGGCCCGGGCCCACTTGCACGGGCACCGGCACGCACACCACTGTCTCCAGGGCTTCGGGTCCACTGCCGGCCGGGTTAGGGCACAGTGGGGTGCCCTGCTCGGCCAGGCTGTCCACGTGGTGGACGTTGAAGGGGATGTGCACACCCTCCTGCGTGATAAGCCCGCTGCTGCCCACCGGGCTGGTGGGGGTAACGGCCGCTGTTGCTACTGCCTGGGCTGGCTGGGCCTCAGGGGGCTCCTCGGAGTCGGAGCCAGAGCTGGAGCTGGACGAGTCGGAGCTGCCGGCCACCAGGCCATTGCCCACTGTGGTGACAGAGGAGAGGGGACAGTTACAACAGTGCAGTGCAGCACCAGCTGGCGTCTGCTGAGGACTCAGCAGGGCCTGGGTACTGTGATCCCCTCACTGCCGCAGTCAGCTCCTCAGAGACAGGCCCCTGCCTCAGCCTCCAGACCCACCCACACTCTGTTTCCGGGCCCCGCCCTGGGGGGCACCTCAGTTCAGCCTCCCTTTGCTCGCATGAGCCTGAAAGACCTGAGCTGGGGCCTCTCCCACATCCCAGGGTCTCAGCCAGGCTGCTGATGTTAAATACCCTCATTCTCAACCTGCCAGGTGACAATTCAGTTCAATTCAGTTCTGACACTATCCACCTGGAGTTACCATCAGACTCCTGAAGACTGTCCCCAGGTCAGATACCAGTCACAAGTCCCAGGCTATCCACTATGGCTATAAACTGAGGGTCCCCATCATCCCCTCCTCAGGGTCAATAATTTGCTAGAATGACTCACAGAATTCAGAAAAGCACTCTACTTAATGATTTCAGTTTTATCATGAAGGATGCAACTCTGTGACAGCGATGGAAGAGAAGAGGTTCACAGGGCAAGCCGTGGGGACAGGGGCCACGCAGCTGCCCTGCCCTTTCCGGGCGTGCCACTCTCCTGACACCTGGAGGTGCTCACCAACCTGGAAGCTCTCTGAACCTCATTGTTCTTCCCAAGTGTTTATAACGCGATCTGCAGCTCCCCATCCACTCCCTAGGGGTCAGCGGTGGGGCTGAGACCCTCAGTTACATGTTTGGTCTCTATAGCGATCAGCCTGCATCCGGAAGCCACCTAGGGCCCCTCCCGGCCACCTCATTAGCACAGACTCCATTGTGTTCCAAAGAGGCTCTTAGGAACAATGAAAAACAGTCCTATCACTCAGGAAATTCCAAGGGATTTAGGAGCTCTGTGCCAGGAACCAAGGACAAAGACGGAATATCTATTTTTATTATACTGCCACCACCCGTACCCTGGGGCTTCGACAGGGACAGCCCGGTCCGGCCCTCCTGTGTGGCTGTAGACTCTTACATCCCACTGCCTCCTCCGCTGCCCACCACCTGCCACGAGGGTCTCACAGGTATCTCAGACCCTGCTCGGCAACCCTGGGCTCTGAACCTTCCCTCAGAAAAAGCCCACACTCCTCACAGGCATCCTGTCTCAGTGGATGGCAGCTCCGTCCTTGCAGGTGTGCGGGCCAAAGTCCTGGGGCTCCCCTTGACTTCTCTTCTTCTCTCACACCCACTTCCAATCTGTCAGCAAAACCTGTTGGTGCTGCATCCAAAATGTATCCCTGCATACCCTGGTCATGACCCCACCACCCCCTCTGCCAGGACCAAGCAGTCCCTTCTCCTTGGTCCCCCAGCTCCCACCCTTGCTCTCCAGTCTGTCCTCCCCACAGTGACCAGAGGGAGACTGTGAATACCTGCTCAGGCCATGTCCCTCTTCGCCTGAGAACCCACTTATCACTTCCTGTGAAAGAGACAGGCCAGGTCCACACCAAACCCCTGTCTCTTTCTCCTGCCTCCCCAGGGGACTACATTTCCCAGCATCCCTTGCAGACAGGTATTGCCATACTGCTGAGGCCCTGTGGAATATAAGTGGAAGGAGCTCCAGCCATGAGCTTCCACTCTCTTTCCCCACCAGCAGGCCAACACTCAGAGGAGGCTGGAACCACGGGACAGAGAGAACCTGGATCCCAGGACAGAAGACAGCCTGTGGGTCAGGAGCACTGGACTTTGTGTGCGGAAACCAAACCACTGTGTTAGGTCATGAGCGTCGGGGTGTGTCTGTTTTAGCAGCTGGCCTTACCTCACTTAGTACCCTCCCCATCTCACTTGGGATAACAGCCAAAGCTCTCACCATGGTCACACAGCCCACACATCTGTCCCTGTGACCTCTGGCCCTGACCTCCTCTCCAGTCCCACTGGCCTCTCTCTGGTGCCTAGGGACACTAGGCAGGTTCCTGCCTCAGGGCCTCTGCATCTGCCATTCATGGCCTTCCTCACCTTTGTCAGACCCCTCAGCAAATGGTACTTTTTCAGGAAGGCCCTGACCACCTTGTCGCAAATAGTTCCCTTTTCTTTCCTTTATTTTCCCCCAAAACACTTTCCACCTCCCACTGTACCCTAGATTTTACTAGTTTATTTTGTTTGTCTGCTTCCCCTCTAGATGGTAAACTGCACAAGACTGGAGGGTCCCCTGTGCCCAGGCCCCAGCACGCAGAAGGCTGCCCAGTGCACATCAAGTGCATGTTTGCAAAGCTGAATCAATCTCAGCCTAACACTGTGATGAAGGCTGAGGGGACTGACATCTTCCCCAGGTGTTTGGTCCACACACAGGGAGAAGATGGGGACAGGAAACATGAATGACTGTCCCCTAAGGTACACAGTTGTGACACAGTTGGGGTGTGCTGTCTGGGGACTACATGTTCCACATTCCTAGAGGGTCACACGGAGCCCACAGGCCCTGGAGCCAGACTGCCAGGGTGGGATCCCATGTCCATCGCCCCAGCTTTGTGAACATGGGTGTCTCAGGTAACCTCTCTGGGCCTGGGCACGACTTGGCACCTGCCCCAGTGGATATACAGGGTATTTAATGAGGAAATAAATATACTCAAAGGGCCTAGGACAGCACTGGGCTCAAAGTAAGCACCCTATCGAGGTGTCCTAACATCATGATTATCATAATGCCCCACCCCTCCTGACACCACAGATCTGCTGGGTGAGTTGAGTCCCCTGGTTCCACCCTGGAGGAGGCGGTCACCTAGTGAGTTGAGGGCGTGGCCAGGGCGGGCCCCTTGGGCCCCTGACTGCAGTGTTTGGCTGTTAATGGCAACACTGGACTTCTTTCCAATGGATAACAACATAAATGACAGAAATGGCCATGCACCATCCTCCCCCTCCAACCCCCAATCATGGCGGGAGGTCCTCTTACTGAGTGAGACCTGGCAGGGCAGCCCCAGGCCCAGAGCTGATAAAGGATGTGGCTGAGGGAACAGGGCTGGAGCAGGGACATAGCCACCCCCTCACAGAGATGGCAGCACCCACAGCAGACCTGGCTAATCGATCCTAGCATTCATTCCCAAGAACCAGATCTGGCAGCCCCTAGGGTCAAAGTTGGGCTGGGGTGCAAGGGGGGTCCTTTGGGTGCCACCTCCTTCGCAGCCAGATCCATCACCCTACAGGTCAGTCACATAACTTGGTTTCTTTGACTGCCCTCTGGGGCTAATGACAGGGCTGTGGGGGGCACTCAGGGTGGTTTGGAGCAGAGGCTGGAGTGGGGACAGGATAGCTGAGGGGCTGGGTGCACACTGGGAGCCTGGCTGATGCACAAGAGGACAGCCTTTGGCCAGGGTGCCCACCAGAACACCTCTCGCCCATGGCTTCCCCTGGGCCAGCTGGGATGCCACCTGCTCTTAGATGCCTGCCAGCACGGGCTCGGCCTGTGTGACTAGCCCCACCCTCAGCCCTGGCAGGGAGGCTGGCAGTGGGCCCCAGTCTCTGTCTCCCAGCTGATGCCAAGGCCCCGAGGCAGGCCCATGCCACCCACACTGCCTCCTCTGCTCCCAACCGGGGCCAACTGGGTCTTCATAACTGTGTCCCTTTCTGTCCCAAGCAGGCAGCCTGCCCACATGAAGGGACCACTGTGGGGTGGGGGGAGAGGGGCAGGGACAATGAAAGACGCAGAGGGCAGGGTGGCAGGGGCAGAGAGAGAGGTGGGAGTGGACAGAGGAGAGACAGGGAGAGAGGATGAAACAGAAGAGATGAGAGAAGGAGAGGGAGGTGGGCCGGAGAGCTCAGGGGCCGTGAATAGAGTGGAAGGACAGAGAGAAGGGGAAGAGGATGAAACTGGACGGACAGACCCAGGACTGAGAAAGAGCCAAGAAAATAAAGGGGGAGGCAGAGGCACCCCTACTCCCACCCCCAGCCACTGAGCCCGAATGGCCTCAGGCACACAGGGCAAATCTCTCCATGCCTCAGCTGTCCCTCCAGAAAATGGGTATGCCCTCTCAGGCTCCTTAAGGACTCAAAGATTGCAGCGCGGCCTGCAGAGTCTGAGCTCCATCCCTGAAGCCAGCATCAGTGCTATTCTACTTGCCACGACGTCTACGATGCTGGTCTGAGGCTGGCCAGACCCAGAAGGCAGGGAGTCCGGGGTGACCCACCCACTGAGCAGCTGGAGAGCCCCCAGACACCAGAGGCCACCCTGTGACCTCACCTCGTAGACCCACCTTTGTCACTGTCAGGGTCTGAGTCACTGAGCGGCTTGAGGGGTGAGTGCAGGTCTTGGAAATAGCGGTGGCCGGCTTCGCACTGCCACACGGCCGTGGTGTACAGACCGAAGGTGGGGTCCAGCTCTGCCAGGTGCGGTTCATATGGGCAGCGGTGTTTGTGGTCCTCATACCAGATCACCACGTTTTTCAGGCAGTTCACGTTGCGTCGCCGCCCTGCACACACATGGCCGGACGGCATGAGGGCAGTGCTCAGCCCCGCGGGACAGCACAGTCCCTAGAAACACTTGGGCCTCTGGCCCTGGGGGTTGAGACACCCTCCCGAGCCTTGGCTGGGCTCCCCAGTTTATAGATGAAGGCACCGAGGCTCAGAGAGGTGAGGTAACGGATCACCTGGAGATAACAGAGACCGGCCAGAGTTGTCCTTATGGATGAGTTAAGTCATATAAACCCTGCAGCCTGGCACACAGTAGATGCATGTCATTGTTAGCTGCCTGTTACTGTTATAATCATCCTGACCGCCGGCTCCCTCCTTGGACCGGTTCAGTTCTTTGGCTTGGGTCTCCCTGCTCCTCACCTGCTCCCTACATTGTTCCCCACAGAGGGCGCCTATGAGCACGGAGGGAGGGCTCCCACCTAACTGGGTAAAGCCCAAAGTCTTCCCTGGACCCACAAGGCCCTGCGCGCTCTGGCCCATCACCTCCTGCCCTTCCCTTTGCCCACTTCACTCCAGCCTCACAGCCTCCTCCCTGCTCCTCACAGGGGCCCTGCATCAGGGCCTTTGCATAGACTGTTCCTCTTCCTCCAGGTAAGTGCCTTGCTTTTCCCTTTCCTCAGTTCGCTACAACCTCCCCTGTCCCTCTGGTTGAACTCCCAGATGCCATCTGTGGTTTTTGCTTCCATGTTTCTTGTCTGTGTCCCCCACTAGAATGTCAGGCCCTCAAGGACAGGAACATTTATCTGTGTCGCTCCTCCTTTATCCCCAGTGGCTATGCAGGGCCTGGCACATTAGGCGGTGCTCAGTGAGTGCTGCTGGATGTGTGAATGCTTCAAGGGGGCCCAGGACCACCGGGGTTCAAACCCCGACTCTGCCACTTCCTAGCTGGGTGGCTCCAGGCAAGTAAGGGACTTGGTTTCTCTGAACGTCAGTTGCCACCTCTGGGCCAGGGGAGAATAAGGGGCCCCACTCCTCGAGGGTTACCAAGGAAGAGGGAGTGAAGACATCAAAAAGGCACAGAAGAGAGAGGGGCACACTGCAGTGGCCCAGAAATAGTACCTGCTATACGTGTGACGATCTTGGCCCTGAGGCTGAAAGGGAGGAAGGTGTCCCCTGGACCTTCCAGACTAGGAGATGAGGAGGGGGCCCAGGAAAGGTTCTTGGGCCCAAGGATGGTGCCCAGGGCCTCCCCTCAGTGGTGACCATGGGGAGGACAGGGGTACAAGCAGCAGCCACCTCTCCAGCCCAGCATTTGCCTCTTATCTCCTTCCCACCCCTTTGGGATGTGGGGGTCATGGTCTTAGCTTGGTACACTGAGAACTGTGAGGAGCAGGTTCACTGCCACCAGATGGCTGCCCCCCGACTGTGGGTCCTCACCCTGCTGGATGTGGCCAAAGACCCATAGCCCCCGGGCTCAGAGGTCATGGCCAAGGAGCTGGAAGGATGTGCTCCAGGCCTCTGCTCCCCTCAGCCTGGCCCAAGCCATTCCCTCTGCCTGCCCGGCCTTCCCTGGCTGACTCCCACACAGTGGGCAGGAGAGGGGAGAAGCTAAGAGCCACTCGGGAGACACATGGGCCTGAGTTTACAGTCTGGCCACTTCCCACCTGTGCAGCCTGGGGCAGTCACTTGGCCTTTCTGTGACAGGTAGGCATGAAGGGAACCCCACTGGCCTTTCTGCCCCCGTCCCCACCCTGGGCTGGGTCAGGCCCCTCTTCTGGGCCCCTAGTCCCCCTACTTCCCCGCTATGGCCCTGCTCAGCTGTCCCGCCTTTCCCACAAGACTGTGGGCTCTATGAGGTCAGGGCTGGGTCTGTCCTGTTGTGCACGGTGCCTGACCCATGCAGGCCCCCCATAAACGGGCCTTGTGAGGAGAGCGAGCGAGCGAGATGGGCAACAAAACCACCGACTCCCAACAGCCCTCCCTTCCCCACTGGCTGCAGCCTCACTTACTTTTCTTCCGCTTTGGCTTTCTGGGGACCTGCTCCCAAGGCTTCCTGTAACAGAGAGAGGCAGGGAGGGGTGCACATAGGGCCTGGCTGATGGTGAGATAATGACAGCAGCCCACCCTGCTTCAGGGCAGAAGGTCAGCTCCTGTTCTATTTCCTAGGGCCCTTCGGTTGGGCTCTCCATTCCATGGGTACCGGCCCTTGCAGGGGAGGGGCGTCTAGTATCAACACCTACTGCACAGAGTGGGAAACAGGCTCAGGGGGTGAGGCTGCCTGCCCAGCCTTCATGGCTAGGGAGAGAAGTCAGGAGAGGGGTGCAGAAATTTGGTGTGGCATGCAGGATGCCAAGATGGCCCATGACTCTCACCCCAACCCTGGGGCACATGCCCCATATAATCCTCGCCCCAAGAGTTGGGTGGCCTATGAAAATGATGGGATACCACTCCCATGGCTAGGTGACTTTGAACTAATCAAGAGAGAGCTTTTCAAGGTGGGCCTGATATAATTAGGGGGGCCCTTAAAAGGGTTCTGGTGAAGTCAGGGACTTGGAGGCTGAGAATGTGAAGGTACCTATGAGGGGCCACGTGGCAAGGACCTGAGAATGGCCTCTAGGAGCCGACAGCGGTCCAGGCCGACAGCCAGCAAGACTGAAGGGCCTCTGCTGTGCAACCACGAGGGAACGAATTCTGCCAGTGCTCTGAGAAAGTCTGGAAGTAGGCCTTTCCCTAGTTGAGCTTCTAGGTGAAGACGCAGCCGGCTAATACCTTGATTTCAGCCTGGTGAGACCCTGAGTAGAGGATCCAGCCAAAATGTACTGGACTGCCGACCCACAGTGTGAAGTAATAAATGTGTGTGGTTTTAAGTTCCAAAGTTTGTGGTTGTTACGCAGCAACAGAACATGATAGCGTCAGCCACAGAACCAATGTTGCCCCACCCCGGGTTGCGCAGACCCTGCCCTCGACCCTAGTGGCCTGCTCTACAAGGGCCCCTATCCAAGGCCCTGTTCCCCCCCATCACTCCTGCTCCTGCAGCCAGTTCAGGCCCTGACCATCATGCCCACCTGCCACCGGGGCCTTCCCTGCTCTGCTGGGGCTCAACACCAAACTGCATGCCCCAGGGAGCTGAGGACAGGGCCAGACCCAAAGCCTGTGGGCCCTCCAAGACCGCCCACAAGAAGCTGGCCACCAGATCCTGAGCCCACACAGGCCATCTGGCTGTGGCCCCGCACCAGCTCTACCCAGACTGAGGGTCAGTGCTTCGGTGCCGCCTCTCCCAGACCCACTGCCGGCCTCCTTCTGCCTTCCTGCCACCACACTTCTGACCTGCCTACTCTACTCTGGCTTCTTGCTGTTCCCTTTCTACACTGAAGCAGCAGGTTCTGAGACCCTAGTGAGCGACCTTGCTGCTCCATGCCTCAGTTTCCCCATCTTTAGGATCATGACAGTACATTCCTCATGGGATTGGTATGAGGTTACACACACTGTGAAGAGCTTGGTGTAGCCCCTGGCACTAAGGAGTCCCTCAGTAAATGGTAGTGGTCATTGTGATTATCAATGTTGTCACAGAGCCTGGCTCTGGAATATTTGTCTCTCTGCTCTGGCCTGGGCCACACTCTTACCACCAATATCTATACTTGGACAGGCAGTCCAGGGTCTCTTGCCAGCTCCATCTACCCCATCTGATCCCTGTCCAGCCTGATAATAATCCAGCCCCCACACCCTAGGCTGGTCCCAAGATAGCTCTGCTGGGCTCCTCTGTCCCTCCTGCCGCAAACTCTGTCCCTGTCCAGGTCTCTGTTCCCCTCCCCTCATCCCAGATGTCTCTATACCTACCCTCCCACAGCTCCACCCGCTCTCTCTTCCAAGGGGACAGGCTGGCTGCGCAGATCCTCACCCAAACCCAAGCCCAAATGCCCAGGCCACCTCCATCCACTCACAGCCTTGCCATGACCAGGGTGCTTGGGTGTCACTCAGATCTGAATTCAAGTCTCATCTCTGTGCTCAACTGGCTATGTGACCCCAAGCCCATCTGGTCCCCTCTCAGCCTGAGAAGTGGGGATAACCATGGTGCCTCCCACACAGAGTTGCCTCGGGGATTAAATGAGGCCAGACCACATTCTTTCTCCCTCAAACTGCCTTCCCTCCACTTGCCTGCTTCTCCAAGTTCTACGACCTTGGTGACTCCCCATGGGGGCCAGTTGCATTTTAGGACAAGAGTTGCTGGGGCTTCTCCAGGCCTGGCTTTGCCTTCTTCTCAGTGGCCAGTCCACAAATGGTGCCTAGTGATTCTCCCTTGCTCTCCTCTACCATCTGCTTCCTCTCTTGACTCCATCATTCCCACTAGCCTCCAAACACACTGTTATTTCTTCCATCTTGGATTTAAATAATCTTGAGCTCCTTTCCTGCCAGCTTCTGCCCCGTTCCTTTGTCCCCCTTTGTCTGAGTTGTCTACACTCGGGGGCTCCCTGTCCTCATTTCCATCTCCCTTGAATGCCACAAAATGCCCTATTACAGCCACCAGAGATGGCCAACTCGTTCAGCCCAGCAGTATTCGACCCATGGACCCTCAACTCCAGGTACACATCAACTCTCCCTGGAAGCTTCGCAGAAAAAATACAGGGTCTGCAACTCCACCCAGATGACCTCAATCAGAAACCCCAACAACGGGACATTGGCTTGAGATTTTTTAAGCACCCAACATTTCCTCTGTTCCTGGGCATATAAACAAGGCCTGCCACCCTGGGGAGGGATGGGTACAATTCAGCAGGGTCTGGTTGATTCTTGGCCATCAGAGTCCCCTCCCAGAGAAACATGTGAATGTGTGCAAATAAACACCAGGGCAGAAAAAGGATTTTGTTGCAGCACTGCTTGTGACAGGAAACAAACATCATCAGAACAGTGAATACCTTAAGTGCTCACTATATGCCAGCCACTATTCTAAGCTTTTAGCTGTACTTTAACTTATTTAATAATCACATCAACCTATAAAGGGCAGGAAGGGAAAAATTCCATCCACACTACTATTCTCAAGATTGAGACTGGAAAGGCTTCTGCTCTCCACCTGAGTAGCTAATCAGGGCTTCCTCGTCACTGAGATGCTCCCCAGTACCAAGAGGCTTATGGGAATGTATCTGGATTGAGAGGGGTCCTCCTGTGTCTGGGTCTAGGATTGTAGGAATGTGGGCACCTTCCAGGTGGGGCACCGGAACCTCATGAGGAGCAGGGCTGCGTGGCCTAGGGTGTCCAGTCCCAGTCCCGGGCTACATTGCGGAGGTTTTAGGGGATGAGGCCTGTGAGATCCCGTGGACCGTGGACTAGCAGTAACATCAGGCCATTGAGGCCTCAAGAGGCGAAGCGGGGCGGAGCGCCGCCGCCCCTCCCGGGACTGGACAGATAGAACGCTTGGGGGCGGGACCCAAACCAGGACTGGGTAGCCGTAGTCTAGAGGGCAGGGCCGAGCGACCGGGAGGCGGACCGAGAGGCCAGGCGCATCCTAGGATTGGACAGCCGAAGCGACGGGAGGCGGGGCCGCGAGACAGGCGCATCCCAGGACTGGCAGTAGGAGACCTAGGCCGGCGGGCCGGCCGCTGGGCGGGGCTCACAGGTGCAGGGGCGTGGCCTGGTGATGAGGGGGCGTGGCCAGGCTCGGCGGGGGATGGGGGCGTCTCCTCCCTCGCTCCCTCCCTCCCTCGGGCCGGGCCCCCTCACCCGTGGCGGCCGCTACGCTGGCCGCGCTCCAGCGAGATGAGGTAGGCGGCGAGCTTGGCGTCGCTCCAGCCGCTGCGGCGCCGCAGGTCCACCCAGGGCCCGTGTGCCTCGCCCAGGTACACACGCCGCACGTCGTACTTCTTCCGGGACTCGAGCCGCCGCCGGGCTCGGTCCGACTCCGTGAGCCGTGGCCGACCCCGCGCCTTGCGGCCCGCCGCGCCCTCCTCGGCCACCGCCTCCCCGCCTGCTCCCGCCTCAGCCTCCGCCTCCGCCTCGGGCTCCGGCGCCCGCTCCGCCATCCCCCCCTCCCTGGTTACCAACCTCCCCCGTTGTTAGGAGCCCGGCCGGAAGTGGCGCGCATCTTCCGCGCCGAAGGGAAATTTTTCTTGGACTCTCAGTGCCCTGCGGCGCCAAAAGGAAACCGAGAGCAAAAGTCGCGCATGCGTGCAACAAGCTGTTGGAGCCTGCTTTCCCAACTCCTTTCCCGTGTTAAACTTTCTAACTTTGCAGAGCCGGAAGGAGCCAGATGAGTCCGCAGACCCGCGGCGGGGGGCCAGGGGGGGCCTTCTGCCTCCACGCCTTTCTCCAGAATGCATCTTGGGGATGATCAGGGAAGGGTGGGAAGTGTCAGGGGCACAGAGGGAAGGCTTGGTGTCCGAACCCGTCAGTCCTACACGCTGGCGAGTCCTTGAAAAGCCATGGCGCCAGGCATTAAAGGGGCAGGCGCGCCACACTGCCAGGGAGGAGAGAACGCAGCCCAAGCCGGAAAATTTTTATTTTCTTTACACTGAAAGGTCATTTCACACTTTCACACCAGTCCACAGCTTGTGGCCCTGTGGAGGCTGTGGCTCAGCTCTGGCCGTGCTGCTGATTGTCTTCCTCTTCCTGGCCCTCGGGTGGAGGTGGAGGCGGCTCCTCCAGCCCTGAGGAGGGCGCCAAGAGCTCGCCGGTGGACCCTGCCAGGCGGAAGACCACGGGGATCTGGGCCAGGGCTGGGTTGGTCTCCTGCAGGCCCCGGATCCACTTGGCCAGTGTGGCCTGGTCATGAGCACCTGCCATGCATATGGCGAAGATGGGGCCTTCCTCCACTGTTGGGAAAGATAAATCTTTAGAATTTGTGTATTAGGGACTGGAGCAGCCCCCTCACACCCATACTCCGGGGACAAGGGTGGGGACTTGAAGCTTCCTTTTGGCTTTCTCATGTGTCCAAGCCTTTGCGTAAGATACCCGCTCTGCTTAGTCTGCTCATCGCACACTTCACCTGGGTTATGCTTCCTCCAGAAAGTCATCCCCCCTCACCCCACCCTATGCTGGGTGGTGTGCTCCACCCCCGAGATCCCAAGAATATAACTTGCCTGTTTCCCCATTGGCTGGACCTGCCCAAAGGCAGGGACTGGGCCTGTCTTGGTCACATTCATAGCCAGCCCAGAGGTGGCAGGCCTGAGCCCCTGGGGGGTGAGATTGCGTGTGTGTGTTGAGTGGATGTGTATAATTGGGCATCTGCTTGGTCTGTGTGGGGTAACTGGGCAGGGTATCAGCCTGCCACCTCCCTGGACCCCAGAAGCCATACCTCATCGTGTTTGGAATCCTGCCCATCCCTGGTCTTACCTTTATCGATGGCAAACTCATAGTCATCCCAGCCGCTCCTCTCATAGTCCAGGTCCAGCTGCATTGGGTAGTAGAGGCTCCACTCCTCTGGAATCTCCTCTACTTCCTACTCCAGGAGGGGGATGGAGGCAGGGTCAGAGGCCCAGGAACTCCTAGCCACCGGCAACCTCCCCACACGAGCTCTCAGGGTAGCACCAGCACCCCTCACCCTCTCCTCCGGGGGCAGCAAGTCAGCTCTGAGGATGTGGTAATAGACACACTTGTCACGGAGCCACAGGGAGAAGGGGCCCTCAACAAAGAGAGGCCGGGCTGGGTTGTGGTGGGCCAGGGCAGCCTGCTGGTCGGGACTCTGGATGCCTGGTGTGGAGACACAAGTGCCTGGGGGCTCTGCCCAAAGGCCCAGGGAGTGCACCCGGCCGGCCCAGTGAGAATCTAGCCACCCGGTAGTGTGCTAGGCCTTACCTACAATGTGCGGCTCGCAGGGATCTGCAGCCCCTGAAGAGTCTGTGGGCAAAGGCATCTGCAAGGAAGAGCAGCGATGGAAGGCTGCAGCACCCAGCCCTTCCTGAGACACCAGGGAGNTAAGTGGAAGGAGCTCCAGCCATGAGCTTCCACTCTCTTTCCCCACCAGCAGGCCAACACTCAGAGGAGGCTGGAACCACGGGACAGAGAGAACCTGGATCCCAGGACAGAAGACAGCCTGTGGGTCAGGAGCACTGGACTTTGTGTGCGGAAACCAAACCACTGTGTTAGGTCATGAGCGTCGGGGTGTGTCTGTTTTAGCAGCTGGCCTTACCTCACTTAGTACCCTCCCCATCTCACTTGGGATAACAGCCAAAGCTCTCACCATGGTCACACAGCCCACACATCTGTCCCTGTGACCTCTGGCCCTGACCTCCTCTCCAGTCCCACTGGCCTCTCTCTGGTGCCTAGGGACACTAGGCAGGTTCCTGCCTCAGGGCCTCTGCATCTGCCATTCATGGCCTTCCTCACCTTTGTCAGACCCCTCAGCAAATGGTACTTTTTCAGGAAGGCCCTGACCACCTTGTCGCAAATAGTTCCCTTTTCTTTCCTTTATTTTCCCCCAAAACACTTTCCACCTCCCACTGTACCCTAGATTTTACTAGTTTATTTTGTTTGTCTGCTTCCCCTCTAGATGGTAAACTGCACAAGACTGGAGGGTCCCCTGTGCCCAGGCCCCAGCACGCAGAAGGCTGCCCAGTGCACATCAAGTGCATGTTTGCAAAGCTGAATCAATCTCAGCCTAACACTGTGATGAAGGCTGAGGGGACTGACATCTTCCCCAGGTGTTTGGTCCACACACAGGGAGAAGATGGGGACAGGAAACATGAATGACTGTCCCCTAAGGTACACAGTTGTGACACAGTTGGGGTGTGCTGTCTGGGGACTACATGTTCCACATTCCTAGAGGGTCACACGGAGCCCACAGGCCCTGGAGCCAGACTGCCAGGGTGGGATCCCATGTCCATCGCCCCAGCTTTGTGAACATGGGTGTCTCAGGTAACCTCTCTGGGCCTGGGCACGACTTGGCACCTGCCCCAGTGGATATACAGGGTATTTAATGAGGAAATAAATATACTCAAAGGGCCTAGGACAGCACTGGGCTCAAAGTAAGCACCCTATCGAGGTGTCCTAACATCATGATTATCATAATGCCCCACCCCTCCTGACACCACAGATCTGCTGGGTGAGTTGAGTCCCCTGGTTCCACCCTGGAGGAGGCGGTCACCTAGTGAGTTGAGGGCGTGGCCAGGGCGGGCCCCTTGGGCCCCTGACTGCAGTGTTTGGCTGTTAATGGCAACACTGGACTTCTTTCCAATGGATAACAACATAAATGACAGAAATGGCCATGCACCATCCTCCCCCTCCAACCCCCAATCATGGCGGGAGGTCCTCTTACTGAGTGAGACCTGGCAGGGCAGCCCCAGGCCCAGAGCTGATAAAGGATGTGGCTGAGGGAACAGGGCTGGAGCAGGGACATAGCCACCCCCTCACAGAGATGGCAGCACCCACAGCAGACCTGGCTAATCGATCCTAGCATTCATTCCCAAGAACCAGATCTGGCAGCCCCTAGGGTCAAAGTTGGGCTGGGGTGCAAGGGGGGTCCTTTGGGTGCCACCTCCTTCGCAGCCAGATCCATCACCCTACAGGTCAGTCACATAACTTGGTTTCTTTGACTGCCCTCTGGGGCTAATGACAGGGCTGTGGGGGGCACTCAGGGTGGTTTGGAGCAGAGGCTGGAGTGGGGACAGGATAGCTGAGGGGCTGGGTGCACACTGGGAGCCTGGCTGATGCACAAGAGGACAGCCTTTGGCCAGGGTGCCCACCAGAACACCTCTCGCCCATGGCTTCCCCTGGGCCAGCTGGGATGCCACCTGCTCTTAGATGCCTGCCAGCACGGGCTCGGCCTGTGTGACTAGCCCCACCCTCAGCCCTGGCAGGGAGGCTGGCAGTGGGCCCCAGTCTCTGTCTCCCAGCTGATGCCAAGGCCCCGAGGCAGGCCCATGCCACCCACACTGCCTCCTCTGCTCCCAACCGGGGCCAACTGGGTCTTCATAACTGTGTCCCTTTCTGTCCCAAGCAGGCAGCCTGCCCACATGAAGGGACCACTGTGGGGTGGGGGGAGAGGGGCAGGGACAATGAAAGACGCAGAGGGCAGGGTGGCAGGGGCAGAGAGAGAGGTGGGAGTGGACAGAGGAGAGACAGGGAGAGAGGATGAAACAGAAGAGATGAGAGAAGGAGAGGGAGGTGGGCCGGAGAGCTCAGGGGCCGTGAATAGAGTGGAAGGACAGAGAGAAGGGGAAGAGGATGAAACTGGACGGACAGACCCAGGACTGAGAAAGAGCCAAGAAAATAAAGGGGGAGGCAGAGGCACCCCTACTCCCACCCCCAGCCACTGAGCCCGAATGGCCTCAGGCACACAGGGCAAATCTCTCCATGCCTCAGCTGTCCCTCCAGAAAATGGGTATGCCCTCTCAGGCTCCTTAAGGACTCAAAGATTGCAGCGCGGCCTGCAGAGTCTGAGCTCCATCCCTGAAGCCAGCATCAGTGCTATTCTACTTGCCACGACGTCTACGATGCTGGTCTGAGGCTGGCCAGACCCAGAAGGCAGGGAGTCCGGGGTGACCCACCCACTGAGCAGCTGGAGAGCCCCCAGACACCAGAGGCCACCCTGTGACCTCACCTCGTAGACCCACCTTTGTCACTGTCAGGGTCTGAGTCACTGAGCGGCTTGAGGGGTGAGTGCAGGTCTTGGAAATAGCGGTGGCCGGCTTCGCACTGCCACACGGCCGTGGTGTACAGACCGAAGGTGGGGTCCAGCTCTGCCAGGTGCGGTTCATATGGGCAGCGGTGTTTGTGGTCCTCATACCAGATCACCACGTTTTTCAGGCAGTTCACGTTGCGTCGCCGCCCTGCACACACATGGCCGGACGGCATGAGGGCAGTGCTCAGCCCCGCGGGACAGCACAGTCCCTAGAAACACTTGGGCCTCTGGCCCTGGGGGTTGAGACACCCTCCCGAGCCTTGGCTGGGCTCCCCAGTTTATAGATGAAGGCACCGAGGCTCAGAGAGGTGAGGTAACGGATCACCTGGAGATAACAGAGACCGGCCAGAGTTGTCCTTATGGATGAGTTAAGTCATATAAACCCTGCAGCCTGGCACACAGTAGATGCATGTCATTGTTAGCTGCCTGTTACTGTTATAATCATCCTGACCGCCGGCTCCCTCCTTGGACCGGTTCAGTTCTTTGGCTTGGGTCTCCCTGCTCCTCACCTGCTCCCTACATTGTTCCCCACAGAGGGCGCCTATGAGCACGGAGGGAGGGCTCCCACCTAACTGGGTAAAGCCCAAAGTCTTCCCTGGACCCACAAGGCCCTGCGCGCTCTGGCCCATCACCTCCTGCCCTTCCCTTTGCCCACTTCACTCCAGCCTCACAGCCTCCTCCCTGCTCCTCACAGGGGCCCTGCATCAGGGCCTTTGCATAGACTGTTCCTCTTCCTCCAGGTAAGTGCCTTGCTTTTCCCTTTCCTCAGTTCGCTACAACCTCCCCTGTCCCTCTGGTTGAACTCCCAGATGCCATCTGTGGTTTTTGCTTCCATGTTTCTTGTCTGTGTCCCCCACTAGAATGTCAGGCCCTCAAGGACAGGAACATTTATCTGTGTCGCTCCTCCTTTATCCCCAGTGGCTATGCAGGGCCTGGCACATTAGGCGGTGCTCAGTGAGTGCTGCTGGATGTGTGAATGCTTCAAGGGGGCCCAGGACCACCGGGGTTCAAACCCCGACTCTGCCACTTCCTAGCTGGGTGGCTCCAGGCAAGTAAGGGACTTGGTTTCTCTGAACGTCAGTTGCCACCTCTGGGCCAGGGGAGAATAAGGGGCCCCACTCCTCGAGGGTTACCAAGGAAGAGGGAGTGAAGACATCAAAAAGGCACAGAAGAGAGAGGGGCACACTGCAGTGGCCCAGAAATAGTACCTGCTATACGTGTGACGATCTTGGCCCTGAGGCTGAAAGGGAGGAAGGTGTCCCCTGGACCTTCCAGACTAGGAGATGAGGAGGGGGCCCAGGAAAGGTTCTTGGGCCCAAGGATGGTGCCCAGGGCCTCCCCTCAGTGGTGACCATGGGGAGGACAGGGGTACAAGCAGCAGCCACCTCTCCAGCCCAGCATTTGCCTCTTATCTCCTTCCCACCCCTTTGGGATGTGGGGGTCATGGTCTTAGCTTGGTACACTGAGAACTGTGAGGAGCAGGTTCACTGCCACCAGATGGCTGCCCCCCGACTGTGGGTCCTCACCCTGCTGGATGTGGCCAAAGACCCATAGCCCCCGGGCTCAGAGGTCATGGCCAAGGAGCTGGAAGGATGTGCTCCAGGCCTCTGCTCCCCTCAGCCTGGCCCAAGCCATTCCCTCTGCCTGCCCGGCCTTCCCTGGCTGACTCCCACACAGTGGGCAGGAGAGGGGAGAAGCTAAGAGCCACTCGGGAGACACATGGGCCTGAGTTTACAGTCTGGCCACTTCCCACCTGTGCAGCCTGGGGCAGTCACTTGGCCTTTCTGTGACAGGTAGGCATGAAGGGAACCCCACTGGCCTTTCTGCCCCCGTCCCCACCCTGGGCTGGGTCAGGCCCCTCTTCTGGGCCCCTAGTCCCCCTACTTCCCCGCTATGGCCCTGCTCAGCTGTCCCGCCTTTCCCACAAGACTGTGGGCTCTATGAGGTCAGGGCTGGGTCTGTCCTGTTGTGCACGGTGCCTGACCCATGCAGGCCCCCCATAAACGGGCCTTGTGAGGAGAGCGAGCGAGCGAGATGGGCAACAAAACCACCGACTCCCAACAGCCCTCCCTTCCCCACTGGCTGCAGCCTCACTTACTTTTCTTCCGCTTTGGCTTTCTGGGGACCTGCTCCCAAGGCTTCCTGTAACAGAGAGAGGCAGGGAGGGGTGCACATAGGGCCTGGCTGATGGTGAGATAATGACAGCAGCCCACCCTGCTTCAGGGCAGAAGGTCAGCTCCTGTTCTATTTCCTAGGGCCCTTCGGTTGGGCTCTCCATTCCATGGGTACCGGCCCTTGCAGGGGAGGGGCGTCTAGTATCAACACCTACTGCACAGAGTGGGAAACAGGCTCAGGGGGTGAGGCTGCCTGCCCAGCCTTCATGGCTAGGGAGAGAAGTCAGGAGAGGGGTGCAGAAATTTGGTGTGGCATGCAGGATGCCAAGATGGCCCATGACTCTCACCCCAACCCTGGGGCACATGCCCCATATAATCCTCGCCCCAAGAGTTGGGTGGCCTATGAAAATGATGGGATACCACTCCCATGGCTAGGTGACTTTGAACTAATCAAGAGAGAGCTTTTCAAGGTGGGCCTGATATAATTAGGGGGGCCCTTAAAAGGGTTCTGGTGAAGTCAGGGACTTGGAGGCTGAGAATGTGAAGGTACCTATGAGGGGCCACGTGGCAAGGACCTGAGAATGGCCTCTAGGAGCCGACAGCGGTCCAGGCCGACAGCCAGCAAGACTGAAGGGCCTCTGCTGTGCAACCACGAGGGAACGAATTCTGCCAGTGCTCTGAGAAAGTCTGGAAGTAGGCCTTTCCCTAGTTGAGCTTCTAGGTGAAGACGCAGCCGGCTAATACCTTGATTTCAGCCTGGTGAGACCCTGAGTAGAGGATCCAGCCAAAATGTACTGGACTGCCGACCCACAGTGTGAAGTAATAAATGTGTGTGGTTTTAAGTTCCAAAGTTTGTGGTTGTTACGCAGCAACAGAACATGATAGCGTCAGCCACAGAACCAATGTTGCCCCACCCCGGGTTGCGCAGACCCTGCCCTCGACCCTAGTGGCCTGCTCTACAAGGGCCCCTATCCAAGGCCCTGTTCCCCCCCATCACTCCTGCTCCTGCAGCCAGTTCAGGCCCTGACCATCATGCCCACCTGCCACCGGGGCCTTCCCTGCTCTGCTGGGGCTCAACACCAAACTGCATGCCCCAGGGAGCTGAGGACAGGGCCAGACCCAAAGCCTGTGGGCCCTCCAAGACCGCCCACAAGAAGCTGGCCACCAGATCCTGAGCCCACACAGGCCATCTGGCTGTGGCCCCGCACCAGCTCTACCCAGACTGAGGGTCAGTGCTTCGGTGCCGCCTCTCCCAGACCCACTGCCGGCCTCCTTCTGCCTTCCTGCCACCACACTTCTGACCTGCCTACTCTACTCTGGCTTCTTGCTGTTCCCTTTCTACACTGAAGCAGCAGGTTCTGAGACCCTAGTGAGCGACCTTGCTGCTCCATGCCTCAGTTTCCCCATCTTTAGGATCATGACAGTACATTCCTCATGGGATTGGTATGAGGTTACACACACTGTGAAGAGCTTGGTGTAGCCCCTGGCACTAAGGAGTCCCTCAGTAAATGGTAGTGGTCATTGTGATTATCAATGTTGTCACAGAGCCTGGCTCTGGAATATTTGTCTCTCTGCTCTGGCCTGGGCCACACTCTTACCACCAATATCTATACTTGGACAGGCAGTCCAGGGTCTCTTGCCAGCTCCATCTACCCCATCTGATCCCTGTCCAGCCTGATAATAATCCAGCCCCCACACCCTAGGCTGGTCCCAAGATAGCTCTGCTGGGCTCCTCTGTCCCTCCTGCCGCAAACTCTGTCCCTGTCCAGGTCTCTGTTCCCCTCCCCTCATCCCAGATGTCTCTATACCTACCCTCCCACAGCTCCACCCGCTCTCTCTTCCAAGGGGACAGGCTGGCTGCGCAGATCCTCACCCAAACCCAAGCCCAAATGCCCAGGCCACCTCCATCCACTCACAGCCTTGCCATGACCAGGGTGCTTGGGTGTCACTCAGATCTGAATTCAAGTCTCATCTCTGTGCTCAACTGGCTATGTGACCCCAAGCCCATCTGGTCCCCTCTCAGCCTGAGAAGTGGGGATAACCATGGTGCCTCCCACACAGAGTTGCCTCGGGGATTAAATGAGGCCAGACCACATTCTTTCTCCCTCAAACTGCCTTCCCTCCACTTGCCTGCTTCTCCAAGTTCTACGACCTTGGTGACTCCCCATGGGGGCCAGTTGCATTTTAGGACAAGAGTTGCTGGGGCTTCTCCAGGCCTGGCTTTGCCTTCTTCTCAGTGGCCAGTCCACAAATGGTGCCTAGTGATTCTCCCTTGCTCTCCTCTACCATCTGCTTCCTCTCTTGACTCCATCATTCCCACTAGCCTCCAAACACACTGTTATTTCTTCCATCTTGGATTTAAATAATCTTGAGCTCCTTTCCTGCCAGCTTCTGCCCCGTTCCTTTGTCCCCCTTTGTCTGAGTTGTCTACACTCGGGGGCTCCCTGTCCTCATTTCCATCTCCCTTGAATGCCACAAAATGCCCTATTACAGCCACCAGAGATGGCCAACTCGTTCAGCCCAGCAGTATTCGACCCATGGACCCTCAACTCCAGGTACACATCAACTCTCCCTGGAAGCTTCGCAGAAAAAATACAGGGTCTGCAACTCCACCCAGATGACCTCAATCAGAAACCCCAACAACGGGACATTGGCTTGAGATTTTTTAAGCACCCAACATTTCCTCTGTTCCTGGGCATATAAACAAGGCCTGCCACCCTGGGGAGGGATGGGTACAATTCAGCAGGGTCTGGTTGATTCTTGGCCATCAGAGTCCCCTCCCAGAGAAACATGTGAATGTGTGCAAATAAACACCAGGGCAGAAAAAGGATTTTGTTGCAGCACTGCTTGTGACAGGAAACAAACATCATCAGAACAGTGAATACCTTAAGTGCTCACTATATGCCAGCCACTATTCTAAGCTTTTAGCTGTACTTTAACTTATTTAATAATCACATCAACCTATAAAGGGCAGGAAGGGAAAAATTCCATCCACACTACTATTCTCAAGATTGAGACTGGAAAGGCTTCTGCTCTCCACCTGAGTAGCTAATCAGGGCTTCCTCGTCACTGAGATGCTCCCCAGTACCAAGAGGCTTATGGGAATGTATCTGGATTGAGAGGGGTCCTCCTGTGTCTGGGTCTAGGATTGTAGGAATGTGGGCACCTTCCAGGTGGGGCACCGGAACCTCATGAGGAGCAGGGCTGCGTGGCCTAGGGTGTCCAGTCCCAGTCCCGGGCTACATTGCGGAGGTTTTAGGGGATGAGGCCTGTGAGATCCCGTGGACCGTGGACTAGCAGTAACATCAGGCCATTGAGGCCTCAAGAGGCGAAGCGGGGCGGAGCGCCGCCGCCCCTCCCGGGACTGGACAGATAGAACGCTTGGGGGCGGGACCCAAACCAGGACTGGGTAGCCGTAGTCTAGAGGGCAGGGCCGAGCGACCGGGAGGCGGACCGAGAGGCCAGGCGCATCCTAGGATTGGACAGCCGAAGCGACGGGAGGCGGGGCCGCGAGACAGGCGCATCCCAGGACTGGCAGTAGGAGACCTAGGCCGGCGGGCCGGCCGCTGGGCGGGGCTCACAGGTGCAGGGGCGTGGCCTGGTGATGAGGGGGCGTGGCCAGGCTCGGCGGGGGATGGGGGCGTCTCCTCCCTCGCTCCCTCCCTCCCTCGGGCCGGGCCCCCTCACCCGTGGCGGCCGCTACGCTGGCCGCGCTCCAGCGAGATGAGGTAGGCGGCGAGCTTGGCGTCGCTCCAGCCGCTGCGGCGCCGCAGGTCCACCCAGGGCCCGTGTGCCTCGCCCAGGTACACACGCCGCACGTCGTACTTCTTCCGGGACTCGAGCCGCCGCCGGGCTCGGTCCGACTCCGTGAGCCGTGGCCGACCCCGCGCCTTGCGGCCCGCCGCGCCCTCCTCGGCCACCGCCTCCCCGCCTGCTCCCGCCTCAGCCTCCGCCTCCGCCTCGGGCTCCGGCGCCCGCTCCGCCATCCCCCCCTCCCTGGTTACCAACCTCCCCCGTTGTTAGGAGCCCGGCCGGAAGTGGCGCGCATCTTCCGCGCCGAAGGGAAATTTTTCTTGGACTCTCAGTGCCCTGCGGCGCCAAAAGGAAACCGAGAGCAAAAGTCGCGCATGCGTGCAACAAGCTGTTGGAGCCTGCTTTCCCAACTCCTTTCCCGTGTTAAACTTTCTAACTTTGCAGAGCCGGAAGGAGCCAGATGAGTCCGCAGACCCGCGGCGGGGGGCCAGGGGGGGCCTTCTGCCTCCACGCCTTTCTCCAGAATGCATCTTGGGGATGATCAGGGAAGGGTGGGAAGTGTCAGGGGCACAGAGGGAAGGCTTGGTGTCCGAACCCGTCAGTCCTACACGCTGGCGAGTCCTTGAAAAGCCATGGCGCCAGGCATTAAAGGGGCAGGCGCGCCACACTGCCAGGGAGGAGAGAACGCAGCCCAAGCCGGAAAATTTTTATTTTCTTTACACTGAAAGGTCATTTCACACTTTCACACCAGTCCACAGCTTGTGGCCCTGTGGAGGCTGTGGCTCAGCTCTGGCCGTGCTGCTGATTGTCTTCCTCTTCCTGGCCCTCGGGTGGAGGTGGAGGCGGCTCCTCCAGCCCTGAGGAGGGCGCCAAGAGCTCGCCGGTGGACCCTGCCAGGCGGAAGACCACGGGGATCTGGGCCAGGGCTGGGTTGGTCTCCTGCAGGCCCCGGATCCACTTGGCCAGTGTGGCCTGGTCATGAGCACCTGCCATGCATATGGCGAAGATGGGGCCTTCCTCCACTGTTGGGAAAGATAAATCTTTAGAATTTGTGTATTAGGGACTGGAGCAGCCCCCTCACACCCATACTCCGGGGACAAGGGTGGGGACTTGAAGCTTCCTTTTGGCTTTCTCATGTGTCCAAGCCTTTGCGTAAGATACCCGCTCTGCTTAGTCTGCTCATCGCACACTTCACCTGGGTTATGCTTCCTCCAGAAAGTCATCCCCCCTCACCCCACCCTATGCTGGGTGGTGTGCTCCACCCCCGAGATCCCAAGAATATAACTTGCCTGTTTCCCCATTGGCTGGACCTGCCCAAAGGCAGGGACTGGGCCTGTCTTGGTCACATTCATAGCCAGCCCAGAGGTGGCAGGCCTGAGCCCCTGGGGGGTGAGATTGCGTGTGTGTGTTGAGTGGATGTGTATAATTGGGCATCTGCTTGGTCTGTGTGGGGTAACTGGGCAGGGTATCAGCCTGCCACCTCCCTGGACCCCAGAAGCCATACCTCATCGTGTTTGGAATCCTGCCCATCCCTGGTCTTACCTTTATCGATGGCAAACTCATAGTCATCCCAGCCGCTCCTCTCATAGTCCAGGTCCAGCTGCATTGGGTAGTAGAGGCTCCACTCCTCTGGAATCTCCTCTACTTCCTACTCCAGGAGGGGGATGGAGGCAGGGTCAGAGGCCCAGGAACTCCTAGCCACCGGCAACCTCCCCACACGAGCTCTCAGGGTAGCACCAGCACCCCTCACCCTCTCCTCCGGGGGCAGCAAGTCAGCTCTGAGGATGTGGTAATAGACACACTTGTCACGGAGCCACAGGGAGAAGGGGCCCTCAACAAAGAGAGGCCGGGCTGGGTTGTGGTGGGCCAGGGCAGCCTGCTGGTCGGGACTCTGGATGCCTGGTGTGGAGACACAAGTGCCTGGGGGCTCTGCCCAAAGGCCCAGGGAGTGCACCCGGCCGGCCCAGTGAGAATCTAGCCACCCGGTAGTGTGCTAGGCCTTACCTACAATGTGCGGCTCGCAGGGATCTGCAGCCCCTGAAGAGTCTGTGGGCAAAGGCATCTGCAAGGAAGAGCAGCGATGGAAGGCTGCAGCACCCAGCCCTTCCTGAGACACCAGGGAGACAGGAATCGGGGGAAGGGGGGAGTCCAGCTAATTTCAGGCCCCTCTTTGGATATGTCTATTGGGCCTCCTACCTGTCATTCAAGCCCATCCCTTCCTCACTTCTATTCAATTTGGCAACAGCTACTGACATTTAATGCTCACACAGGGGAACACGTGGACAATTCCCTCTTGATGATTTGGATCAGATCATTCCCCTTATAAATCTGGTGTCAGTGATTATTTTACATTTCAACCTCTCTGTATTTTTCAAAATGAGACGGGAAAAAATATTTAAATGCAAAAACTATATATGCAACAAAAAGAAATTTAAAAAGGTATATATGTGCTTGCAGATGAGTAGGATCTCTGTGGAAGGAGACATGAAGTGATCACTTCCAGAAAGGAGACGAGGTTGAAGGGCCAGGCTGGGCCTCTTTCTGTGTGTTCTGTGCACTGTTTGGCTTTTAATGCATTACTTTTGAAAATGAAGTAATGAATTGAAAATACCTTCCTGTGCAATATACACAAGGCCAAGTCTCTGTCCTCTTTGACCTGAACCCTGCATCACCCACAATGCCACCCTGATGGTCCTCTGCCCCACCCCATCCAACACCATCCGTGCGGCCGCCAGGGGGCGCTTTAGAAATCGCAAATCCTTCCAGAAACCTGACTCCCACCCATCCCTCCTCTTTGAGACCTCCCAGGGCCTTTTCCTGACCTACACGTTGGAAGCCAAGCTCTTTAACCCCGCATTTTCTGTGCGTCTTCTCCCGACCCCTACTCCCACCCCCTGCACTGGGAGGAGGAAGCCCTTGCTGCGTCTCCAGAGACTCCCAGCTGCCCTCTGAGCCCTGATGCACACTGCTCCCTCTGCCTGGAATTCTCTCACTTCCCCCATCCTGCCGGAGCACAGCTGGCCCTCACCTCCTCCTGCCCCTTCTGGGTTCCCACAGCCCCCAGGGCTTCTCAGTCTCAAAACCAGCAGCTCTGAGAGGAACTGCTATTTGGGGGTCACCCTCCAGGACCAGATGACAAGTGCTGTGAGGGGCTTTTGATCCCCTTTGTGGCCTGAAACGAGTCAGGTCCCCAGGACATGGGGAGGGTGAAGGGGTGGACGGAGTATGGAATATTTTCTTCAGTCATTCAACAAATAACTGCTGAGCATCAGCATGGTGCAAAACCCTGTGCTGGGCCTTGGGAGACACGGGGGAAACTGAGTCACAGGACTGCATAATCAAGCTCAGCACAGGAAGGAAGGGTGCCTTAGCCAGGAGGGAGGAAGGGGATCTTAAGGAAGGAACAGTAGAGCTGAGGACTGAAAAACATAAAGTGTCCCCTCTCCGGGGAAGAGTAATCCTGGCAGATGGAACAGAGAGTGCAAAGGTCTGAGGAGGGAATTGGCAAAGAATGCTCAAATTACAGAAAGGCAGGCAGACACCTGGAATATAATGAGCATAGGGAGAGCATAGGGCCAGAGGTCAGATGTCAAGGGTGTGAGGACTGAGGGCCATGGGAATCAAGTGGAGGTCTCAGCCAGGAAGTCACGGCCAGTCTGAACCACAATCACTCAGAGCTTAAGTGAAGGGGGCACAGTCAGTGGGGGTGGTTGAGCATGTGGACAGGGGTGGATACCTGGTAGACGGTGACCCTGGCACTAAGGTCAGGCTCCATGTGCTGCAGGCCCAACCTGGCCAGGTCCACAGGGTCCTGGGGCAGATCCCGGGGAATGGGGAAGGGGTTGATGTTCTTGAAACGGGAGAACCACAGCTTCATGCGCACGAACTTGAGCATAGGGTAGCTTTTACGTCCAAATATCTGAACCAGCAGGAACTCGGTGTCCTCGTTGGGCATAACCCCTGCACTGGGCAGATGGACGCAAGGCCTCAGGGATGGCGCATAGGAGGAAAGGGGAGACTGGAGACATGGGAGGCAAAGACGAGCAGAGGGGATCAAGGGGAGGGCCAGAGGGAAAGAAGCGGAGACGGGGGAATTTTAAGTCAGGAAAGGATGAGAGAGAGGGAGAGAATCCAAGAGAATTTAAGGAAACGTCAGTGGGAGAGAGGAAAGAGATGAGACAGACAGACAAGAAGGGGAGCAAACGAACCATACAGGACAGACAGGTGAGTCAGAGCCATGGAAGGATGGAGGGGCTGAGACCACGGAGAGGGAGGCAGCCTGGTCCACGGCCCAGAGCCTGCTGGCCTCACCGTGGTTTTCCATCTGCTCCAGGACCGCAATCCCACACTCCTGCTGCCGTGGGTAGTGGATGAAGACGCTCTGGAAGAAGTTGCGAGGCCGGAAGACCTCTTTGGGGAAGATGTCGAGCAGCAGGTTGTAGACGGCCAGGTCCCGCTCGACGCCATACTCCCGCATCTTGCGCAGGGCCAGGTAGATGAAGTCAACGTGGCCGCGCTTGTGCACGCTGTACTGCCCGAAGTTCTGCACGGCCCGCACAAAGCTCGCCTTGTCCCGAGCCCCATCTGACGCCTGCCTAAACAGCTCCTCATGCGGTGCCAGGGTCTTGGTGAGCCTCCTCGGGGGCTCAGGTGGGCGCGGGACCAGGGACCATTCGGAGTTGCTGGAGACTGAGCGGCAGTGGAGGCCCTGCGAGGCCTGGGGGGGAACCTGGGGATCGAGGATGGCTGCAGGAATCTGGCAGCTTTTAGTGCCCCTTGGGGACTCCTGGGCTGGCTCTTTCCTGGGAAAGGTGCCAGGGGGCATCCCTAAGGGCCTCCCAGGAAGCGTGGTGCTGTGGTTACAAACCCAAGGTCAGGCACCACTACAGAGTGTTAGAAAACAGTGGTGAACCCCCACGGAGCCAATTCGGCAGCATTCTGCACCATGACAAACACACACCTTCTGACGCAGCAATCCTGCACCTGGTATTTAAATCTGACAGCAGTAAACACACATGCACTAAATGACCTCTGTACATCCGCTGCCGCAATGCCAACAGCCCCAGCGTGCATCAGCCAGGAAATCACTAAGGAAATGGTCATGAACCTGGACAAGGAGCCTCTGGCACTACACACAGAGGAGGTCTCACACGACCCGGAATGAGCTCCACTGTCTATCATTAAATGAAAAAAAGCTGGTATGAAACAATGTGTAGAGTAGGCTCCCAGGTGTGTAAAAAAACCGCAGCTTACATATACAGGAGAACCTCATTATCTGTGGATTCTATATTTGCAAATTTGCCTACCTGCTGAAATGTATTTGTAATTCTAAATTCGATCCTTGTGATGCTTTTCTGCTCATTTGCAGACTGGGGAGAGGGGTGAAAAATTTGAGTCACTCAGTGTCTACATTCCCAGCTGAGCTCAAACAGTGAGGCACTCGGTCTTGTTTTGGCTCTCAAACCATCAGCAAATGTCCTTTAGAGGTTTGTTTAGTGCACGTTTTCTACGTCTTTTTGTTGGCGATTTTGCTGCTGAAAATGGCCCCCAGGTGTAGTGCTGAATGTCGTCTAGTGTTTTCCTGCCTGCAAGGAGGCTCTCCTGTACCTTACAGAGAAAATACCCATGGCAGATAAGCCTTCTTCAGGCATGAGTTATAGTGCTGTTGGCTGTGAGTTTAATGATAATGAATTAATATATATGAAATAAGATGTGTTTAAACAGAAACATACATACAAGGTATACGGATCAGTTGATAGAAAGGTTTTGACCAGAGGCTCATAGGAACCTACCCTATATTTCCCCTGGGATCAACGGTTCAGTATTCACTATTTCAATATATGCAGTCACTTTATAAAACTACAGTGAATATTGAGAACTATATGTATATATATATATTTTGCATCTCTGAAATATCTCTGGAAGGAAATACAGTAAGTGTGCAACATCTCTTGCCCCTAGAGAAGGGAGCTAAAGGGTGGTCCAGAAAGAGAAGGACAGACCCTTGTCACAATGTAGCCTCAGAACTTTTTGAATTTGGAGTTATTATTGCCCACTGTAACTATCTTTATTATCCATTCTAAAGACAGATTTCAAAAACTGCAATAGAAAAAGAAAATGCAGATTTTGGAGAAAATGCAGGATTTTTGCCTTGACTGCCTTCCACCATGTTATGCCCACATCCTACTTTAATGCTCAGGCTTCAGTTTCCCCATCTGTTATGACCCTTCCCATGAGTCAAAGGGACTGTTTCCCAGAGTGGGGAGTTCATAGTGCTGGGAACAGGCCCAAACCCTCTGGAACAGAAGTTGGCAAACCCTTCCTGTGGGGGTAAAGCTCACCAGCTGCCTGATTTACCAATAAAGTTTTATTGAAACACAGTCATGTGTGTTCATTATGTCTGGTCTGGGTCTGCTTTTATGCTTTCGTGCATTAGTTATCATGGTCATCACCTAAGACCACTTAGCTCATATTTCCCTATATTCAAATTCAACCCCCTCACCCATATGAGCACGGCACCTCTTAAAATGAATAAGGCACATTAACCTGGTCCTCAGAGCGGATAGGCTGGCCCAGACTCCCCAGAGCTGGCTTCCCTGGGTGGATCCTGAAGGCACTGGGAGCAAACCCCAGGCATGCCTGCGTCCCTCCACCTCAGCACTTGTCTGGCTGGTGGTTACCTGAGTGAAGGGCGATCTGGGGAGGGCAGCTCCACAGAGGCCTCCCCAGCCCCGAGCAAGGCCCCGGGCCAGCAGGATGGCTTGGGCCCAGCTCATGCCTCTGTCTGTCGGACGACCACCTAGACAAGAGAAGACAGACAATGTCACCCGAGTGCCCTAGCTGCTAACAGAGACAAGACCCCCCCTCAGGGGTGGAGGCCGAGAACCAGACTAACTCACCATGCCCCACTGGTTTCCGCATCCACAAGATGCGACTAAAGTGACTGTTAAAATCAAGGGTCCCTGTTGTTGGGCCAAAACCCTACTGTGAGGAATTTGTTCCCACAATGGTCCCCCTCGCTACTGAATCATTCTTGTTTTTTTTATCTGCTTTATTTGTATATCATACAGTTATAGTGTAAAATTCAATGGATTTTTAAAATATATCCAGAGCTGTGCAGCCATCACTGCAATCTAATTTTAGAACATTTTTGTCGCCCCAGGAAGAAAACCTCTGCTCACTAGCAGTCTGTCACTTCCCTGACTCCCAACTGCAGTTAACCACCAGCCCACTATTTTTATAGATTTGCTTGCTTGTGGGTATTTCATAGAGAATCATGGTATGTGCTCTTTTGTGACTAGCTTCTCACTTAGCATGTTTTCAAGGTTCATCCACGTTGTAGCATGCATCAGAACTTCCTTTTTTTTGCCAAACCAACCAAACAAAAAAAATTCTGTTACAATGGCTATAACCACGTTTTATTTATCCATTCACCATGTGGACATTTGGGGTTGTTTCCACTCTTTGATTTTTCTGACTAATGCTGTTTATGGACAGTCGTGTGGATGCTTTCGTGTGAACATATTTACACTTTGCTTGGGTATACACTTAGAAGTCAAATTGCTGGGACATTTGGTACTTGTTTTCAACCTTTTGAGGAACTTCCAAACTGTATTCCAAAGTGGCTGCACGATTTTACATTCCCACCAGCAGCATATAAGGGTCCCAATTTTTTCCCATCTTTGCCAATACTTGTCTTTTTTATTACAGATATTCTAGTAAGTGTGAAGGGTATCTCATTAGATTTGCATTTCCCTAAAAATTAATGATGTTGAGCATCTTTCTATTGTGTATCTTTGAAGAAATGTCAATTTAGATTATTTGCCCAATTTTAAAAATTGGGTTAGTATTTTTACTTTTCAGTTGTAGAAGTTCTTTATATATTCTGGATATAGACCCTTATGATATAGAAATACTTTCTCCCATTCTTTGGATTGTTTTTTCACTCTCTTGATGCTATCAGTTTTGGCACAAATATTTAATTCTGATGCAAGCCAAATTAATCTGTTTTCTCTTATAGCTCTTCTTTTGATGTTGGATCTAAAAAAAACCATTGCCTATCCCAAGGTCATGAAGATTTACTCCTATGTTCTCTTATAAGAGTTTTATAGTTTTAGCTCTTACATGTACATCTTACATTTAGATCCACACTTTGAATTAATTTTTATGTATGGTATTAGGAAAGCATTCACTTCATATGGATAAACAGTTGTCCAGGTACTATTTGTTGGAGACTGCTCTTTTTCCATTTTATTGTCTCGGCATTCTGCTGAAAATCAATTGATCATCAATGTAAGGGTTTATTTCTGACCTCTCAATTCTATTCCATTGATCTAGATGTTAAAGACTTATGCCACTATACACTGTTTTCATTATTATAGTTTTCCGAAGTTTAAATCATGAAGTATTTCATGATTTTTTTTTTTTGTTTGTTTTTCCTTTGTAAGATTGTTCCAGCTATTTTGGGTCCCTCATAATTACATTTAAATTTTAGAAATGAGCTTTCAGTTGCGAAAAGCAGAGGGATTCTGATCAGGATTGTGTTGAATCTGTAGATCACTGTGGGAATATTAATATCTTAATTTTAAGTCTTCTCACCTATGAACATGGGATACCTCTCCCATTCATTTAGACCTTTAATTTGTCTCAAAAATGTTTTACAGTTTTCAGTGTATGAGTCTTTTATTAAAGAGACTTTGTTAAATTTATTTGTATTTCATTCTCCATGAAGCTACTGTATATGGGTTACTTTCTTATTGCATTTCTGCACTGTTCACTGCTAATGTACAGAAACACTATTTTTATATGTTGATCTTGTGTCCTGTAACCTTTCTGAATCATTTGTTAGTTCTAGGAGCTTTTTATTGGATTCTTTAGGAATTTCTACATACAGGATCATGTCATCTGCAAATAGAGATAATTTTACTTCTTACTTTCCCATAGGGATGCCTTTTCTTTCTTTCTCTTACCCAAGTATCCTTGTTGGAGCTTTCATTACCATGCTGAACAGAAGGGGCAAGAGTGGACATCCTTGTCTTCCTCCTGTTGTTAGGGGAAAGCATTCAGCCTTCCAACATTAAGCATGATGTGAGCCATGGTGTTTCAGATTCCCTTTATCAGGTGGAGGAAATTCACACATCTATACCTAGCAGCTGAGTGTTTTTATCAGAAAGGTATTGGATTTTACCAAATGCTTTTTGTTGTATCTACTGAAATAATCATGTGATTTCTGTCCTTTTTCTATTAATATGGTATATTATATTCTCTGGTTTTCAGGTTTTAAACTAACCCTGCATTTCTGGGATAAATTGCACTTGGTCATGGTGTATAATCCTTTTATATGTTGTTAAAATTTGGTTTACTACTATTTGATTGAAAAATTTTGCAACCATATTCATACAAGATAACAATCTGTAGATTGGAATCGGAGTAATGCTGGGAAATGTTTGGATCATTCTTATCACTATTTAAACGTCCTCTAGCACCTCCCATCTTGACCTGCAGTCTCCCTCCAGCCTGTTACACATCTCTGCTCCCTTTACAACAAAGCTTCTCCCAAGCGTGTCTCCTTCCTCAGTCTCTCCAACTTGGCTGCTGCCCCATCCACTCCATTGACACCACCTGTAAAGGTCCCCTGGGTGTTCTACAGTTACCAAGGAGGTGATTACGTCTCAGGCATCATTTTACTCAATTTCTCAGAAGCATGTGGCATGGGCGAGGCACTCCTCCCTTCTTGACACTACTTATTTTCTTCCTAGCACCCAGGCCTGTCTCTCAGGCAATCAGCAAGACCCACTTCCTTCTCTAAAGTTTGCCATGTGTGCAAACTTGAATGTGCAGATGAATCACCCGGGATCTTGTTAAAATGCAGATTTTGATTAGCGGGTCAGGGGTGAAGTTAAAGACTGTACATCTAACAAGCTTCCAAGTGATGCTGATGCCTCTGGTTTGGGGACCACACTTTGAGGAAAAGTGCTGCAAAGAGCCCCACATTCTAGATTGTCTGTCTGGTTCCCTGTGGTATCATTCAACTTGTTCCTTTCTTCTCTATGTTCAAAGAAAACTGCAATGGTTTTCAAACTTTGTTCGTATGAGAATCATCTAGGGAGCTTTAAAAAACTCCACAATGCGAACCCTCCTACACTGTTGGTGGGAATGTAAATTAGTTCAAACATTGTGGAAAGCAATATGGAGGTTCCTCAAAAAACTCAAAATAGAAATACCATTTGACCCAGGAATTCCACTCCTAGGAATTTACCCTAAGAATACAGGATCCCAGATTCAAAAAGACATATGTACCCCTATGTTTATACAGCATTATTTACAATAGCCAAGATATGGAAGCAACCTAAGTGTACATCAGTAGGTAAATGGAAAAAGAAGATGTGGTACGTACACACAATGGAGTATTATTCAGCCATAAGAAGAAAACAAATCCTACCATTTGCAACAACATGGATGGAGCTAGAGGGTATTATGCTCAGTGAAATAAGCCAGGCGGAGAAAGACAAGCACCAGATGATTTCACTCATCTGTGGAGTATAAGAACAAAGCAAAAACTGAAGGAACAAAACAGCAGCAGACTCACAGAACCCAAGAATGGACTAACAGTTACCAAAGGGAAAGGGACTGGGGAGGGTGGGTGGGAAGGGAGGGAGGGATGAGAGGATTGTGGGGCATTATGATTAGTACATATAATATAGGGGGGGTACAGAGAAGGCAGTGTAGCACAGAGAAGACAAATAGTGACTCTATAGCATCTTACTATGCTGATGGACAGTGACTCTAATGGGGTATGTGGGGGGGACTTAATCATAGGGGGAATGTAGTAACCACAATGTTGCTCATGTGAAATCTGAGCATAAGATTGTATATCAATGATACCTTAAAAAAAAAAAATCCTATGCCCAGGCCATACCCCAGATAATATTAAATCAGAAAATCTAAAGGTAGAACCTTTTAGATCAGCATTTTAAAGCACTCCAGTGACTAATATGCAACTAACATTAAGACCTTGATCTAAACCTTAGCTACTCAAAGTGTGTTCCAGGTACTGGCTACATCATTATCATCATCTGGGAGCTTATTAGAAATGCAAAATCCCAGCCTTAACTCAAGAGTTCTTCTATTGCGATAAAGTCTGAGAAATGACAATCTATGCTCTGATGGATGTCAAATATTGATGCCAGCCCTGAGCTCCAGCCTCTATACCTAACTGCCATTTTGGCGTCTACCCAGCCATCTCAAACTTAATTTGCTCCAAGTTGATGTCTCTACTTAAACGTTTTATCACCACCCAAACCAATGGCACCAACATTCCTAGTCATCCAGGCCACAAACCTAGGAGTCATTTCTCTGAGTCCACTATGTCCCTCAATCCCCCATTCAATCCATCAAGTAGTCCTGGTGACTACTTCCAAATCCATCCCAAATGCATCCATTTTTCTCCATCTGCAGACCACCACCCCAGTCCATGACCTCTTTCCTGAATACCTACCCAGCCTCCCACTTCTTTCCTCATCCGACTCCGGTCAGTTCTCCCCCCTGTGGCCTGAGGGAGCTTACTTAAATGTAAACTAAATTCAGTGTTTTCAGCTTTTAACTAGCTGATGGTATGCCATACTTAAAATACAATCACACAGGGTCTACCCCTCCAAACTCAACTCTAATCACTGGCAGCTCCAGCTACACTGTTTCCTAAACAACCTACGTTTATTCTAGTCTCAAGAGTCTTTGCACTTGCTTTTGTCTGGATATTTCTTCTTCCAGTTCAGTCCATAGCTCTCTTTGGTCATTCAAGTCTATATTCAAATGAAAGGTCTTCCCTGACCCTACACCCCACTTCCAATCTAAAGCCCCCATCACCTGATGACTGCATTTTTTACAATTTTAGCATTTGAGATCACCTGTCCCCTTTACTTCTGACCTGTTCAATGTCTGGCTTCCATAGGGCATCAGGGAATTTTGTCTCTTCCTCATCGCTGTGTTTCCAGCACCCAAGGCAATGCCCGGTGTATGGTAGGTACCTAAGAAGAGCTAAATTTCTACAAAACGGCGGGATGTACCTACAGCAGTTCTGAGGCGGCCTGCCAGGATTCTGAATTCCTTAGGAGAAACAGGCAAACCAAGGTTGAAATTCCAACCTAGCTGCCCACTCGCGTTATGATCTGGGAGGGGGCCTTGACCTCTCTGAATCTCAGCTGTTCCATCTGCAAAATGGGAGATTAGGGACGGGAGGAGGCGGGTACATGGAGGCGGCCTTTCCCGGCACATCCCCGCCCCCACCTCAAAGGTCATGGTGCCCTGGCCCTGCAATCGGGCCCCTCGGGGGCTGCCCTCCCGCCCTACAGGCCCAGAACAGGCTGTCCCAGAACCCAGCGTATTGTGCTCACCTCCCCACGCGCGACCTACTTACTCACGCGGCCGGCTGAGGAGCCGCCATTTTGCCCAGAGAGCTTCCGGGTCAAGAGCCGGGACAACAGCAAATCGAAAACTCCGATTTCCAGAGATCCCGCCCAAGCGGGAGGAAAACCAATAGGAACGATGAAAAACCTTGGTACCGGCCCTCAACGGGCCAGGCCCCTCCCCTAACGAGGCTAGCCGAATCCCTGCCCTGGGAATTAAGGAGCTTAGCCCAGGAGGGAGTAATTGGACCGTTCTGGGGTTGGAATGCAGGGCTTGGGGGTCTTGACCCCAGTTGCGGCCCTAGTTTTCCCACCTGAAATGTGGGAATGAAATATTAAACGTGGAAGTGATGTGGACTTCTTCATTTGGCCAACAAATATTTATTTAGGTATTTAGATTTCTGCTTTCTGTCATTCTACCATCTCAAAGAAAGCATGAAGTTACAAAAATTAATTCAACAAATATTTATACATATTTTAAAACAAATGTATGCTAGATGCGGAAGGAAATATAAAACTAATTTGTAAAAGGAAAAGAAACTTAAGTTCTCCAAGTGCTTAAAATTTGTTTGCAAGGAAGGGCATATTTTCCTTAAGTTAAAATGTAAAATGCTACATGTGATTAACAAAATGGTCGATATTAAAAAATAGATTAATTTTTAAGAAGAAATGTTATAGCCTGAGCTTTGTGGCGATTATGCAGGTGTATATAGATGTAAAAATTCATTCAGTTCTCCATTAAGATGTGTAAATTTTGTTTTAATATCTCAATTTTAAAGTTTTTAAGAGTGATAGTTGATTCCTGGACCTATAATATGTATACTTTTCTATATGTATGATGTACTTTAGAATTCTATTTAAACACTTTAACCCATTGGGATGACCATTCTCAAAAAATACCTAGATCTTAGTAAGTGTTGGTGAGGATGTGAAGAAAGTGGAACCCTTGTTCCCTTGTGGGAATATAAACTGCTTCAGCTACTATGGAAAACAGTATAGCAGTTCCTTAAAAAAGTTTAAATGGAGTTGCTATATGATTCAGCAATTTCATTTCTGGGTATATTCCCCAAAGAAAGCAGGGAGTTGAACACATAGCTACATACCTATGTTCATGGAAGCGTGATTCACAGTAGTGAAAGCAGATCCAGTGTCTATGGACAGATGAGCAAATAAACAAAATGTAGTGTATCCGTACAATGGAATATCATTTAGCCTTAAAAAGAAAGTGTTGGTATATGCTACAACATGGATGAACCTTGAGATCATTGTTAAATGAGATAAACTAGTCACAAAAGGACAAATAATATTATGATTCCATTTGCATGAGGTACTTCAGGTAGTCAAATTCCCATAAAAATAGAAAATAGGTGGTGGGGGCCAGTGGGGCAGGGGAGGAGGATAGGGAGTTTGTGTTTCATGGAGACAGGATTTCGATCTTAGAAGATGAAAAGGTTTTGGAGATGCCTAGTGGAGATGGTCGCATAACAACATGAAGGAATTTAATACCACAGAACTGTACACTTTAATATGATGAATTTTATGTTATATATTTTACCACAATGTTTTAAAAAGTTGACCTAAAAAAAGATAAGTGATATAGAGAAAAGTGAAGCAGAGAAAAAGAAGAGGTGCAAGAGGGTTTGCAGGTGGACATTGGCTGGTTCCAGGAAGGCCTCATGAGCAGGTGACCTTCAAGTAAAGATCTGAAGCAGGTGAAGGAACTATCTGGAAATTTAGAAAGCATTTTGGGCACGAGGAACAAGCGCAAAGGCCCTGGAGTGACTGGAGTGGAGTGAATTTAGGGGAATGTGACAAGAGTTGAGATCAGAGTACGGTGTGTATAGGGGAAGCTCCTGGACTCCCCCAGGAAGTTCTAGATTAGCATATCCAAAGGGGGCTTGGCAGTATCAGAGGCTCCAAGCTAGGTCGGTTATCCGCCCCCATAAAGTCATTTCTGCAGTCCCTTAGACCCCATGACGTGGGGGCGCAGGCATGGGAAAAGGAGGATACCTTCAACGACCCTTAAAATACTTGAACTACACTGCGCAGCCGCAGCACATCAGCTACATCGAGATTCCTGTGATTGGCCGAGCTGAGAGGAGCTGCATCCAATCAATTGCTGGTCCAGGAAGACTTTTGCGTACCCCTCCCCAGCACGTTGACGGGCACGTGGGCAGCTGCTTGGTGAGCTACTGCCCTCTGCTGGGCGTGCCCAGCTAAGCGCGGGCGCAGTTGCTCTGCCTAGCTGGGGTTTGGGTGAGGTGTGGGTGGTGGTGGGGTCCAGGACCTGGCCATCGCCTTCGGAGCTCCCAGTGTCCTTTCTCCTGTTGAGGCAATTTCGGCTCGTATTTTTTTTTTATCCTTCCAGAAATAGTGGATTCAAACACGCATTGACATATTTTTTGTATTTATTAACACACAACACGATATAGTATGTGTGAAGCCCCAAGTGGATCTCTTAACACGGAGTCCTCAAAACACCCCTAGGAAAAATAGCAGCTTCACGATGGAGGATCCTGTCAGACACCACTTTAAATTAAACAAGGGACGAAGGGTAACATCATCAACCATGAGTCATAGTAACATCATGAGCCCCTGATATAAGAAAGGAACATCACCCCTCTGGTATCCTTCCAGTAATGCAAATACCTCAATCTAATAAAGACAAACCAAATGGAGAAACAGTCTACAGAATTACTGACGAGTACTCTTTAACAGAGTCAAGGTCGTGAAACAGGGATTGTCACAGACTGGAGGGCTTTAAGGAGACGTGACCACTAAACATACTGAGGGATCTTGGATTGCGTCCTGGAACCAAAAAAGGATATGACTAGAAAACTTGGAGAAATCCAAATCAAGTCTGTAGTTTATTAATAGGATTGTACCAAACTCAATTTCTTAATTTTGATAAATGTACTATGGTTATGTAAAATATTAACAGTAGGGCAGCAGGGTGAAGGATATGTGAGAACTCTCTGTACTATTTTTGCAACTTTTCTGTAAGTCTACAATTATCTCAAAATAAAAAGTCAAAAGCAAACCTAAGAAGCAGGCATTATTAATATGCCCATTTTCCAGAAGGAGGAAACTGAGGCACAGAGAGGTTAAGACACTTATCCAAAGTCATACAGCCAGGAAGCAAAGAAGGCATGTCCCAAACCCATGGAATATGGATTCAGAGTCCCTGGTATAACCATAGCACCACAGTGCTTTTATTTAATTGAAACAGAGTGCTGTATATTCTGTCTTTGTCCTTGTCTATGTCACATGTTCCCTATTGGTAGATCTACAGGGTGACTTGTTATTAAAAGGCCACTGCAGTAAATGTTCTTGCACATGTGTCATTCTTCACACCTACACTTGTACTTCTTAGGAATATTCTAAAAATGAGATTTGCTATCTAAGAAGACAGGATTTTCCAGAGAAGTGGAACCAACCATCTATAATATATATCACCCCAGAGACACACAAATATGTGTGTGTGTGTGTGTGTGTGTGTGTGTGTGTGTGTGTAGAGACAGAGAGAGAGAGTGATTTATTATAAGGAATTGACTCACGTGATGATGGAGGCTGAGAATTCCAGGATCTGCAGTTGGCAAGCTGGAGACCCAGAAGAGCAGATGATGTAGTGAAGGCCTAAGAATCAGGAAAGCCAATGGTATAAGTTGCAGTCTGGCAGCTGGCAGGCTTGAGACCCAAACAGAGCTGATGTTTTAGTTTCACACTGAAGGCAGGAAAAGACCAAGCTCAAGGCAGTCAGAAAGGAGGAATTTCCTTACTGGATGGAGGGTCAGCCTTTTTGTTCTATTCAGGTCTCTAACTGATTGGATGAGGCCTGTCCCTATGGGGAAGAGAAACCTGTTGTATTCTGTCTACAAATTAAAATATTAATCTCATGAAAACACCCTCACAGACACATCCAGAATAACTTTTAACCAAGTATCTTGGCACCCCGTGGCCCAATCAACCTGACACATTAAACTAACCACCAGAAAGGGTAAGGACATTTGTTATTTTTTAAAAAAGCTTTCTTGTTCAACCAGTTGTTTTTTAACAAAATATCTTGCAGAGTTCAAGGGTGGACAAGGGAGTGGGCAGCTGTAGAATGGCCTGGAATAACCTCAGCCACAGCCTGGGATCCAACCTCCTCTCTACCCTCCAATTGGTCTTCTGGAGAGGGTTGGAATGGAAACACAAAGGGGACCCCCTCCTCAACTGTCCCCAGCCCATGAGATGCTAGGAAATCATGCCCTTCCTTTGTGGTTAAGCACCAACATTTCTCGGATGTGGGTTCGAGTCCTGACTCACTGACTTTAATTCCATTTACTCAGTGAGCATTTTTTGAGTGCCTGCTGTGTGCAGACACCATCCTGGACATGGGGGGCATAGAGCAGTGAACAAAATAAGCAAAGCCCCGTCCCCTGTGGAGTTTCTGTCCTTTCTGGATGAGAGAGATAATAAGCAAAAAGGAGGTAGGAAAAAGCAAGGAAAGGAAACAGAGAGCTGTAGGGTTTTTTTTAAACTCATTTTTAAAAAGAAAGTCTTGTGGAAGTAGGTATAATCCATTGTTAGGTGCAAGCATTAAGCCACATGCATCCTCATGCCCATTCTCTCAAAGTCAGTCTGGAGTGCAGAATTCTATTATTTCAGAGCAGGTAATCAGGAGGGAAGGCCTCTTTGAAGAGGTGACATTTGAGCAGAGGAAGCAAGAGAGAGGCCATAAAGGCGTCTTGGGGAAATATATCCAGCAGAAAGGGTTGCTAGTGCAAAGGTCCTGAGGTGGCAGTGTGCTTGGCCATTCACGA